GCTGGGTGTATTTCCTGAATGAATTTGAGATCCAACCTGTAGATGTTTGGTCCTTACATAATAAGCTGACATTTTAAAACGGGGGGGTTTTCTCAGGGAAGGCTGGAGGTTGGGCATTGTTCCACTCAGGGGAGGTATAAACCTGAAAGCTGAAGGGGCTGGTGAGACCAAAGAAAGAGGCTGACAAGTCCAGCTTGAATTCAGTAGAGGTTTATTGAGGGGATCTTACCCACAGAAACTTGTCCTGGGTGGCCTCAGGGCACATAGTTGTCTGGCCACGTTGTGTTTAGGGAGGCTAATTACAGAGGCAAGAAGAAAAGGCCTACATGCTGGTGTTCACAGTGTGCTGGGTGGAGCAAGGGCCCACAGCGGAGTATTACTGCTAGAATAGAGCAAGGAGTCCTGCCCCTGCCACAGTGCTGATTGCTTCAAGCTGGATATTATCTAAGGCTGCTTGTGGGTCGTAGAAGGGGAGTATAAGGGTGGCTTCGCAGCAGCGGGGTGCTGCGACAACGGCCCCCAGAATAATGCAATTGTGCACTGGAAGCTGTTTATTCCTACTGCTGCCTCTCCATGCCTTCTGTGAGCTTCTATTAAATCATTACTTGTCAACATGGTGGGTTTGATAAGATCGTGTTTCTTTTGCTCACAGACAGGCACACTGGACCTCTGTTCCTGCCTGGTATGCCAGATGCGTGTCTTAGCTCACCACTCAGCCCCATTGCGTGTTGTCTTACCCTGAGCTGCTGCCCTCATTGTCTGCCTGCTTGGCCCCAAAACATTTTGAATTTGCAGTCTTTGTCCCCTTACATGAGCTCCAAGGTAATTTGTAGGGTTTTTAAGTGAAATATGCAGTCCTGTCCCAGGGAGGAGCTGTGAATATGACTACTTTGTGTGTAGAAGTCCTGGTATGGGTGAAAATCTTAATTCCTCTTGCATAGGAATGTAGAGTGCACCTTTGACGCAGTCACGTCCCTGGGAAACTACACCTTCCCTAGGAAAATGACGGCAACATCAGATCACATAGATAATTCTCTCCAGCAGGGGTTTATTGATCGCGTGCTTTAGGCCCCACCCTGTGTCAGGTGTCAGGAACTCCATCCTTGTGCCTGTGTCTTTGTAGGGGGATTGAATCCCAGTTCCCCACTTGACCTTTGTTGATATTCCCACTGTTACTCCAACAAGGATGGAGTGAATGAGAGTTACTCATATCTAAACAGTGTATATAAAAGGAATAGAATAAATGTGGTTTAAGTTATGAATAATAAAATAGTCTTTCCACTTTCACAAGGGAATTTTCTTGATTTCTTTTTGGTTAGCCAGGTTACAGAGTTGCTGTGCAGGTTTGACTACTATAAATAAAACAACTGGTTGGATGTTTTTAATTTTTTCAGTTATTTGCTTTATTTATGTATTTTCTTGGTGACTGTTAACGGTTGGTGGTATAATTAGTGAAACATAAGCTTTCGGGAAGATAGTTTGTTGTATTCTCAGTTTATAGACTGTGTGGCTGCCTGGTGGGTCACTGCTGAGCTGAGCAGGGAAACAACAAATCCTTGGTCCTAATGTATTGATACACTGTTGAACTTGTCACACATGAGAAGAATCTTCTTTTACTGGGTCCCATCTTGCAAACAGATTTGTGGCATTGAAGACACTTGAATATTTTATGGCGACTTGCTACATTCTGGGGCTTGTGACTATCTGAAACTCTTCTCTTGACGCCTTTTGAAGTTAGGCAGCAGAAAGCAGCCCTGTGTGCCCCAAGAGCACATAGTGGTTTTGTTTTTTTTTGAAAGTGTTGTTCTTCCCTTTTGTTCCTGCTTGGTAATTACCGCCTCCCAATGGCTTCTCTGGAGCAGATGCTGAAGTTCTAGATGGAGGAGGAGGAGGAATGGGGGCATTGCGCAGTGGGGGCTGCAACAACAGCCCCAGGGCTAATGCAGTTGTGCTCTGGAAGCTGTTCATTCCTACTGCCACCTCTCCATGCCTTCTGTATGCTTCTATTAAATCATTGCTCTGGCTGTTCCTCCTGTAACCCATTCTGTTAAAACAAGCGTGTGGGGCATTAGGGATTTTTGATTCATAGGAGTAGACATAAGTCAAAAAGAAAAAGACTGAAATGAACCCTCTGTCCCTATTTCATTGCCACTTCAGGCCCTTGAACAGTGGGTATTGGGTAAAGTCTAACTTAATTACACTTTCATAGGTATTATCTGTGTTTCTCTAGTATGAATATGTTTTTTGGAGCATTGGTTCTGGTGGCTAAACAACAACAAAAGGTGTCTTTGAAAAGATAAGGCTGCCAAATACTATTAATTTTACCTCTGGAGTCTCAGTTGTTCTCCCAAGAACCGTCTCAGAGTTAGGCTTGTTGAGGAGCTGCTGCTTAGCATCAGTGTAGCAGCTTTTTTTCCTGTTGTTGCCAAAGTGTCTGCCTATTTGTCCCTTGAAGTGATTTCATTAGATGGTGGAAAAGTGTTTTATTTAACCCTTTGTCTTCATTAAGCTTGTTATATTCATTTTCTGGATTTGTGTTCTCTAAAAACCCAGTGTTAAAGTTCCTTTGAACTATTAACTTGCTAATCATTTTTTAAACAGGAAGCATTAAAATTGTGATTTTAAAAAGGTAGATTAGGGATTAGTAATTTCTCAAATGAACCTAACTGTAAAGTTTATTCAATGCCCAGAGAAAAAGAACACAGAGAGTTCAGGGTTCTTTAGAAAACAACTCTATATGCTAGTGTAGTGGTCAGAGTGTGGTCTGGGGAAACTCCGAGACCCTTTAAGTTTCCATGAAGACAGAGTTACTGTCCTAGTAATACTAAGACATCATTTGCCTTTGTTTGCTGTGCTGATATTTGCATTGATCCTGCAAAAGCAAAGGTAGAGAAAGTGGTTGGCATCACCTTAAGCAAGACAGTGGCGCCAAACTGTACTAGTGGTCATTGCATGCTTTGCAATGCCCAGTTTTAAAAGAAAATGCCACGGGCTCTCTTGTCCCCTCCTGGCATGAGCCAGGAGCTCTATTCTCTCACTTCATTTCTAAATAAAAGCCTATACCTTGCTCTCCTACCTTGAGTGTTTGTGAAGCTCATTCTTCGGCTTCGTGAACAAGAACCCCGGCATCATTATCTCCTACACACAAGCCTGGCCTCAATAGAAACTCTCTAATGGAGAGGCTTGGTCCCTGAGAGAAGTATACAATATAATAAGCAGCCACAAAACTGCCCATAGTAATAGAAATGGAACCTGGAATAGAAGTGCCCATCTTCCGAGACCCTCTCAACTGACCACCGATGGAGACCTAACTGCACCCTTTACTGTGCCCTTTCTCAGCATGAAGCAGCCAGAGTGGTCATCGCCCCCTTTCCCTAGCGGCAGCTAGGGTCTCTATCTGTAGAGGGGGGATGAGACAGAGACCATGGGCTTAGACAGAGTAGGGTGAGGGCCTCGGGAAAAAGCAAGGCAAGATATTTAGAGTCAAAGCAATGTAACAATGTAAAGTCCCTATCTGTGTTCAGCATTATGCAAAGTCAAGGTCACACTAATTCTCTAGGGTAAAGATAACCGGACTAGGACTATAGACATCTTCAGTGAGATCAGTTAAAGGTCAAAAGGCCAGGAGCAACTTGGTCTGGAAGGTTTGAGTGTTCCCCAAGGGTATCTCAGCATAACCTGTGACTTCACTGTAAATAGCCCTAGCAAACAGACAACAACCAGCCCACCCTGACGGCAGGGCAGGTGATATAAGTCCACACCCTAAGCCCTCAGTTCCCCCAAATCCTCAACTACCTATAAATCCCCTGGACAATGCACCACCCTGGGCTCTCATGTCCCCTCCTGGAATGAGCCAGGAGCTCTTTCGTCTCACTTTATTTCTAAATAAAAGCCTGTACCTTGCTCTCCTAAAAAAAGAAAATGCCAGTTTCACGTAAGAATGTCCTGTTGTAGCAGTAAAAATTATTTTATTAAAATACCACCTTTGAGGGCATGTCTGTAATATACTGCATGGCGAAAGCAATGCGTAAAAAGTACTTTTGCATCCCCAAGTACAATGATTGATTATCCCAGGAAAAAAATCTAGTAATATAGTGGGACTGTGCTCCGAGGATAGAAAGTACCACAAAGAAATCTTGAACTTGATTGTCGGTGGTGTATTAAGTTGGCTCACATTAAATGGCTATTTTCCTAGGTCAAAAACAGTCTAGTATCAGCAGATGCCTTTGTTCAACCTAATATTTGTTGAAAGAGGGAGAAAGAAAGCAATTTTGACAAATGGGGGTTCCAGGTGACGAATATACAAATGTTGGTACTATTCTTTCACCTTTCTATGTCTTTGAAATATTTAAAAACAAAGAGGAGCAAATAGGTAATCAACATACAAAAATGAACTCTGAGCAGATATAGACTTGTTAGATTAAATGTGTGGACAGCATGAATAGTTGCTTGTAATAGTGTTTACATGCTCCTGGAATTAAGTCTAAAACTACTTGATTCAAAATACAGAAAGGAAGAAAAGCTACTTATTTCATTGTATGAAGTTTTTTCTCATGAATCAGCAAATGAACAGAAAAATAAAGAACTAGAGATAGAAATTAAGAAAAGGGGATCTTAGTTATATTTAATGGAATCCTTTTCATATGATGACACTTACAATGCGTAGAAGAAACAGATCTTTGATTTCTAAGAAACTGGTGCCTGCTTTGTTATATTTTGTCAGTAGATCAGAAATGCCTTCTATCACATGGCTTTAACATTCCCTCTAAGATAGGATATATCTCTAGAATTTGAGAAAGATAAGTTTGATCCTCCCCACTTCCCTTGATACCAGGAGGTATCAGCTGAATCATGTTTTGGTCTGGGTTGCTGGGGTCTTCGGGGTAGCCACCGCAGATGGAGTAAGTTATAAGATGGTAATCCCTTCTCCTTTCTAGAAAATTTTCCTAAGTGATTTCAACAGCCCTTGGTTTTATCCTCCTTATCTGAATCCAAAACAGATCCCTAAAGAAGTAGCTGACATCTTCAACGCCCCCAGTGATGAGGAAGAGTTTGTCGGGTTCCGAGATGACGTTCCCATGGAAACCCTCTCATCAGAGGAGAGCTGCGATAGTTTCGACTCACTGGAATCTGGGAAACAGGTACGATGCTTCCGTTCAAGGCAGCCATGTTCCTCTGGAAGCCTGGATCTTGGTTCAGATTTTCTTTTATTTGAACATGGTCTGAGATTGGTGATAGGGCTCAATTGTAGAGCCTTTTATTTTAAAAGCAGTTATGCATTCATATTTCAAGAAACTGGTGAGAGTAAGAGTACCTAGCTTACTTTTGCTGTTTAAATCTTTTCTACGTACAATACTTTTTTTTTTTTTTAGATAGAGGGACCTCACATGATCAAATCAATTTTCTTCGCAGCCTCAGGGCTGCGGCCTGGGTGGAGGCTGCACTGAGTGCTCCCATGCAGCTGGCAGGGAGGGCACGTCCACACCGTCGTGGTCCACACTGCAGTGCAAAGCCGGTGTGTGCGGTACCACAAGGCAGGCACCTCCCTCTTGAAATTGCTGGGCAGAGCGTTATTCTTTATTCCTCTGATCTGTGGCAGACACAAGTTACAGTTCCCTGAGAGTTCGATTCTTGGAGGTTCATATTGTGCCTTAGCATTAGCATACCTATCCAAATATCTAGTTCCCTATGGCATTTTCTTCTGGGTTCACTGTGGCACTCACAATTACTCATTTTTCTTCAACCTTGACCTCTCTCGAAAGGCTGGAGGTTAAACCCACCTTATTTCACTGAGCAGCCGCGGGAAGGAAGGCAGTGGATTACATGAGGGACGTGCCTGCTTGATGACTCAGCTGACAGTGGGCTTGGTGGGGCTGTTCTTTCCCGGGTCACAGGGGCCTGCAGGGTATATCACCTTACTTCATGTCTCCACAGAATTTGCCCCCTGCCCTGCTCCTGCTCCCCTTGGGCTCTTCCTCTCTCTTATACCTTTTGCTTTTGGTTGCCATCTCTTTATTTCCTGTCTTCATCTGTGGATGTTCCCCAAGATTTTCTCTTCAGACCCTTTTCCCTTATGGGTCAGTGACTGGCCTGGTTTGAGGCATTACCTCCAGGTTCTTTATGGTCTGGCTTCTCTCTCTCGTCCCAGATCTGTTTCTGACTGCCAGTTGGAGCAATCTTGAGTGATGAGGGGAGATCTGCAATTCACCATTCCCCCGCCCAGTTTCTGTCCTCCCCATTTCATCTCCATCTTTGTGTTGTAGACCCCTCCCTCACCTCCTGCCCTCCCCGCTCCCTTGCAGGGATTTGTGAACCTTGTGCCATGTTCCTCACCTCCATCCTTTCCTTGCTTTCCCTCTTCAGCTTCCACAGTTCTCAGAGCCCTTCCCCCAGCTGTGGAATGGAGCTCTGGTCCTGGTCCTCCCTTACATAGACATTGACATTCTTTGTATTTGAGCGTGGTCAGGAAGTGAGGGAGTGTGGAGCCTGTTGGATCCACCAGGAGGGGCATTCTGAGCAGTGCATGACTTGTGTAAAGTGCCAGGCACAGAGCCTGGCCTACAGTGGCCATTAGGAAACAAAGCAGCTTTCTGTTGCTCTGGTGGTTGTTTCTTCGGCTATGCCTTTCCCTGCCCCTAGTATGCCTTAGATGGCCCCTGACGATACGCTTTTCATATGAATTGCACTTAATTCATGAACCTCTCTGGGAAGGCATGGGTGGTGTTATTATCCCCATTTCACAGGGGATGAAACTAAAGCTCAGGGAGGTGCGATGACTTGCCCAATGCCCCACATCTGAGAAGCAACTGAGCTGGGGTGTTCCAAATCTATGAGTACCACTGCCCTCTTCCCTGCCTTCCGTGCTGCTGTAGACCAGAAGCAGCATCCTTACCGTCATCATACATTGTTCTGGGCTCTGTGTCCACTGGACCATGCTGTTTGTTCTGCCCTCTTTCATCATTTTGCTAGACTACCTCAGTTCAGACCAAAGGCTGCTGATGCTTGAAGTCTTTTTATGGATTTTGTGGAAGTCTATGGATTCTTTTTCTTCCTGTGTGCCAGATTGTTTGCCTGTCCCTTATAACACTGATTCTGTCTATGGTTACTTGTGAACCTGTCCAGCTCTCCTGCTAAATTATAAACTCCTTGACGGAAGGGGCCTCACACCTAAATGGCGCTTCTAGCTTCCCTAGCTAGGTCCACTTACGTTTCCCTTTCCCCTTGCGTGCATCCAGCCTGGAGTGCTGGTCTCACTGGTTCATGGATATCACTCTGGTCTGTTTCTTCACGTCACAAGAACTTTAAAAAAAAAGTGTAACCACTCTGTTAGCTCCTCTTCTGAGCTGACATCTGCTTTCCTCTTGATCATGGTAGATACAAGTGACCAAGGCCCATTACATACTACCTAGTATTGATTTTAAAGGGTAACAGATCTGGAGAGCAAAGAGCCTTGGGATGGTTGTAACCAAGAACACAGCAAGGCTGTGTGGAGTAGATGTTTGTTTCATATACAGACCCACATTAACAATATTTTACCCTTGTGCAATAAGAAAAATAAAAGCATAAGCCTTGGTTAAAGACTGTGGCAAAGTGGTTTTTCTCCATGAGAACTGGCCACCAAAGATGGCGATTTCCCCAAGCTTACTGGAGCTGGCTAAAGGTCCAGAAAGAGCTGGAGACTGGAAGGTTGGAACTTGCTGCCCCAAGGCATGACCTGTCTCTGGGAGGAGGCTTTAGGTACCTGGTGAAGTGGATACACAGACCCCATTGCCCTAAAACAGCCTGCAGGGGCTGGGTCAGCGCCCTGGGGGCCAGCTATGCATGATTCTTCCTTAATGATAAACCCTGGCCTCTGCACCCCTGCTCTGACCCCACACACTCATCGTCCATTTTAACCGTTCCAGAGAAGCTAGCTGAATGACCTTGCATGCACATGGCATAGGCAGCAGTGCTAACTTAGGTCTCCCTTAAACATGATTTGAATTCTACTTTAAAGAAACTTCCCTTTTGTGTTTGTATTTTTTTTTTTTCAAGCAGCTGCACCACAGCTATTGACAAAGGAACAAAGTAATTTAGCTCTGAGCACACTCACTCCAATTACCCATAATAATTCATAGGAGACATTTTTAAGCTTAAAAGAATGCTGGATATAGACATTTCTTTCTCTATCACCCTGTAAATTTTTCTACTCCTCTATTATATCTATTTTTCTCCAGAGATTATCTGAGCTTGAAGAAGTATATAATTAAAGTCAGGGAAAGGCAGGGGGGTGATAACAATTCTCGAACCAAATGTGTTGTGATGAGGGGTCATTGCTATATTGGGTGTGGGAGGAAGAGGTGTTGAAGGCAACTGGGGACACAGACTCCAGCCCTGGCTGCCAGCTTGGAGGAGGCTGGCTTGGGGGTCCCCTTTTTGTGCCACCGTTCTTTTCCCTCTTCTTTCTTTCACGCAGACAATTTAGAGAGCCCAGCTTCCTTCCTTTGATTAATTCAAAAGAAAGAAAAAGTCACTACTGGAAAATGTCTTTGTTTTTTAAGGGGCAGTCCTATTAACACCTTTCCTTCTGCCCACTTCTACCAGAGGGTGGTTGCTGGCCTTTCTCCTGTGGGAGAGGAAGTCCTAGGGTTGGGGTGGTCGGAGCAGCCACCAGGCAGGCCCCCACAGAGGTTGGTAATGGAGCCACAGCGGTCTGCCGAGCCATGGGCAGGGAGGGGTGTGAAAGCCTCCAGTCCTCTCCAGCAGAGAAACTGGCTGGTTAAATGGGAGGCATGCCCACCAGCCTGGAGGAGATGGTCTTTGGATGGCAGTTAGAAAGGAAGCCAGCATGTGGGAAGGAGCTAGGTTTTCTCCTCACATCTCTTTCCCCTGCAAAAGCAGATGTTCCTGGAGGCCAGCCTGGCAGCAGAAATGGAATTCCATCAGCACTTTTGGTCACACAAGACACTGATTGAGACTGTAGGCATCCTGGTGTGTTGATATTGTTCAGGTTATGGTCTTAATTTCTGTAAGCTATTAGGAAATGTGTATGTGTGTATATTTTTTTACGTAACAGAAAATTGACCATTTTAAACACCTGAAATGCTGCTGTGTCCTCAGTTTCTTGCCAGCAAAATGAGTGGCATTAAGTACAAAGTACTGTGCAGCTGTGACCATTATTCACTTCTAGAATGTTTTCCCCTTCACAAACAGAAACTCTACTCATTAAACAATGACTCCCCATCAGCCCCCAGCCCCTGGTAACCTCTGTTCTTCTTTCTCTATGACATGTGTGTGTGTGTTTTTAATTTAGCAGGATGTACATTTCCATTCCAAATACTTCACAGAAGAGCTAAGAAAAATTTTTATAGAGGACACTGACTCAGAGATGGACGATTTTGAAGGATTTACGCAGAGTGATCTGAATGTAAACAGTAATCCAGAAGTAATGGTAATAATTACCAACAGGAGGGAGTGTGGGCTGTAATATTTTTAGTCTTGTTTCAGAATTGTATTCTTATTTATAAGAAATCACTTCACAAATGAAAATATTTTACTTTTTCTTACATGTTTATCTTCCAAGCCAGTTAACAAAATACAGAAATTGCTCTTTTAAGACTAATTCCTTGGCCACCAGTCCATTTTGCTTTTAGAGAAAATCCAGTTGTGTTCCCCTGGTGCGTTTGGAATTTTAGGGTTTGTGTCCCAAGTGTCCCTTCCTGTCCTTATGGGAGAATTTTTTCAGATTTGAACCTCTTTTATTTGAAAAGAGGAGGGTCTGTCTAGAAGGAACAGATTCCTTAAAAGTCATTTTTTTTGTGTCCAAAGTAATGTTCTTAGGTTTGGAGTTAATTTGGCAAAATTTAGCTGTGGTACAGACTTAGAGGTTTCCTTGTGCATTCTTCATTTGGATACTGACATGCCTTTTAACGGTAAAGAGGCCCCAGCCTGCCTGATTCCGGAGGGAAATCTCTCAGCAGTTTGCCATCAAGAGGCTTGTAGGTTGCTCTCCTTTTATTCCATATGGTTAGGCCAGCTTACTGCCAACTAGTAATTTGAATCTCAGGGTAACTTTAAAGCACAGCCTTTGGTTTTATTTATTTTTTTGGTGTAAAAGTGTGTTTGCTAATTGAAAATGGCATCCATTTATCCTTCAGTGTCAAGATAAAGGATAGAGGTTAAGCCTCTTCATGATCAGAAGTTGCCATGGAACCTGTGTAGAAGTTTAAATAAGCTGTAACTAGAAGGCTGGCTTTGTCCCTCACCTTGTCCTGGGGGAACTTAAGGCCTGAGAAGCCTAATGGTAGGCTGCCTTGTGTGACGATGATTTTTCCCATGAATAGCAACACAGTGCTGTGCCAGCCTGTGGGCCCCAGCCCCCCTTTGGCTTTCTTTACCAAAGTTGTTCGTAGGATGCTTGATGTGTTCTGACCAGCAAGTCTCCAGTTTCTTGCCAACAGGGCACTAACATCCTTCCAAGCCCTAATGAGTATCATGTACTCTTAGCGACTTACTTATCTTATGCTCTTTAGCTCAGTGGTGTTGGGTTATTCAAAGAAATCTGTGTTTCCAGCACAGGAAAAGTGAATTACCCCAAAAGTCTTTTTTTTCCCCTCTGAGCCTATAATTTTGGGGTGTGAATTGTGACTTGTGTTACATTGACTCTGATATAAATCACAGCTCAGGGCTGGTCCACCTGTGCATTTTATTTTGGAATTCAGTGAGAAAAGCAGCACTGTTGCCTCCCTGCCAATTCTCCTGCCCACCCTCGGGAGAACCAGCAAGACCACCTTTCCTAGGATTTTACTGTACCTTGGTGGCTAGTGGCCTTCCAGCTGTGAAGCAGCCACAGCAGTGGTGCTGGCCCTTGGCTCTTGCCCTCCCGTGTGAGTCCTCACTGCTTCTTCCCTGCTCCCGTCCTTTGCAGTGAGCTGCTCCTCACCCTGGTGGATAGGCGAGTCACGTGATGATCGTGATAGATGAACAGAGCCTATGTGGGAGCTGCTGCCTCTCAAGTTCTCCAGTCTCCTAAAATTCAATGCCTCTGCAACCTACCATTTTGAATTCCAAAGCTGCTAATGTAGAAAACTCAGGTTATTGTAAAAAATAGATAAATCAGTGCATGGTAGTCTTCATTTCTTTACATGCCTTGTTATGGACTGATACATACACCATGGTTTGGAAGTGACCTCTGTTTTCTTCCTTCCTCTGCATTATTTTTAACTGTAGTCCAGCTCCAATTCTCCAATTTGGGGAGTGGATAGGGTCATTGAACTGAGCTCAGCAAACCCACTGTCAGGAGTCCCTGATGGAGGTTCCCAAGCCAAACTTCCCAGTGTGTGGTCAAGGAAGGATGCTCAGGAGATGGCTTTGATCTCAGTATTTAAAACCGTCTCTGTTCTAAGAGGCCCCTCATCTGAGACATATCCTGCTGTTCACCTTCGTGCCTTCCATTTGGGTTCTCATGTGTAGAACCAAATTATGCTTAATGCTGGGGTCCTGTACCAAGTGAAGTTTGAAAATCTGGGGTGACATTTCTTGAGCCGACTGGGTGCTCCACAACCACCCACAGTTGCCTGTCTCGACAGCCCCTGTGGGCTCTGACCGTCTCAGAAAGGGAGAGGCTTCCCTCTGAGTGGGACCACTGTGTCCTGGGGATGAGGTTCCCCTGCTGGCCCTGAGGGTGAGTCATCTGCCTGCTGCGTGGTCACGTCACTAAGGTGAATCAGCCCTTTTGTTCCTTCTACTCAGGAATCTGATTCCTGCCATTTTGGGCAGAACAGTATTTCTTTAACCTAGCACTCTGTTTTTATGTGAAGATAGCTCCTCTGTCGTGCCCACCCTGTTCTTGGACCGTTCCCCGTATTACCTGGCTCGGCTGCTCACTGCCGAGGGGCCCCACGTTGTCGGCACATGCTTGCAGCCCGGTGCATGAACGGGGGCAGAGGGCCAGTGCAGAGAGTTTGCGCTTTGATTTGATTCCTTAGCAGACTGCATGAGCATTTAACTGGAGAGCTGAGAGGGAACTGATAATATGGGAAGGGGAAGCGTTCAACTATTACTCCTCTTTTTCCTTAAAGTTCTGGCAGAGAGGTTTTAAATGTGTGTTCTCCTGAAGGTCTGCTGCCCACAACTGCTTTGCTCTTCCTCATTTTGATAGCTTGTGGGGTCCGATGTGAGTGATGGCAGCAAAGCGTCTTCCGCGAGTGAGGAAGAGGAAGGTGAAGAAAAGGAGGAGGCTACACCTAGGAACTGCAGGCCGGGGAGAGGCAGTATTGGTCTTCGGGTAGCCTTTCAGTTCCCCACCAAGAAACTGGCAAGCAAATCAGATAAAAACAACTCTTCTGAGCCGTTATTCTCTAGTGCGTGCTTACAGGACAATAAAAAAGCGATTCTTGGAAGAAAGAAAAGTTGCAGACGGGGGATGGAAGGGGAAGATTCTGCCTCTGAGTCTGAGGCTGACTCCCGGGATGAGGGCCAGGAGGCCTCGGACGCCCTGCTGAAAAGGACCATGAACATCAAGGAGAACAAAGCCATGGTAAGGCCGCGGCGGGTGGCTGGGAGGAGGCTCCCAGACCCATAACTTACAGTTGCGGCTCTTGGCTTTGTCAGGAAATGTGCTCTGGGTGTGGTGTATCCTTCCTCTTTTCCTGAACACCAGATAGTTACTACCTGAGGGGCTGTGGTTTGGAAACAGAGAGATTTCCCAGGGCCAATGACTTGTAGCCCCCTACCTAGTGCCGTGAACTACTGGTGCTTACGGTTTATCAAGTTACAGTCTAACTGTGTAGTAGTTTTGGAGATGAGGTGGGCTGAGCGACTGGCCTGTTCTCAGCAGAAACAGCAGGGTGTAAGTAGGAGGTCAGGAAGCCCACTTGAGTTGCTGTGTGCAGGGCAGGCAGGCATCTTTCATCCTAGGAACGGTTCTCTTGTGATGCCCTGTTGTGGTATCATGATACTGTCTGAAGGAGTGTGAGAGGTCTAGGTATAAAACTGGTTCTAAGTAGCTTTAAAATGTCTTCACTAGCATAACGGAACAAGGTGAAATGTTTGGTTTTTCTTGATGTGGTCAATAACTGTCATGGGTACAAAACTGAAGGCTTGTGGTAAAGTGTTAGATGAACTAGACTTGGCAATATTTGTGTAAACTCCTTTCCCTTGTTCTGAACTTCAGCTTGCTCAGCTGTTGGCGGAATTGAACTCAATGCCAGATTTCTTCCCAGTACGAACTCCAAACTCAGCTTCTGTAAGTGAAACTCCTTATACTTATTTATTCCAACATGGATATACATACATAATTGATTGCCAGGTGGCTGTTACTCAAGAAAGCACCCAGTTACATATGTCTGTGCTCTTGCTTTCAGAAGAAGAAACCAGTGAGGCGGGCCCTCTCGGAGGGGCAGATCCCCCGACGCATGAATCCGACCCGGAGTGCTCGACCGCCTGACAAGTTTGCCCTGGAGAACTTCACTGTCTCAGCCGCCAAATTTGCAGAAGAATTTTACAGTTTCAGAAGAAGGAAGACAATTAGTGGGGTATTTTCTGACTGTAACAAACAAATTATTTATCTAAGCCAGTGTCTTTAAATCAGTCATCCAGGGCTTGTTAAAGTGCTGAGGTTCTGAGTGAGTAGGTCTGCAGCATCTGAGAATTTGCATCTCTGCCAAGGTCCCAGGTGGAGCTGGTGCACCTGGGACCCCCTGCTCTAAGCTGTAGGCCATGGAGGAGGTACTTTTCCTGAGGCAAGCCGGGAGCAGCTAGGAACCCCAGCCAGATCTCCAGTGGGGGCAGGAAAGGCCTGCTAATGGCTCCGGTTGGCTTTATGGTTCTGCTTATGGGGAAGTACAGTGATTTCTTCTAGCCTTAGTGTTCTAGGAATAAGGTGCTCAGTGTGGTTCACATACTGTCCACACAGAGTTTATAACAAAAGACCATTTATTGGTCAGGTAAAACCTGAGCTCATTTATTGTCTTAGCACCTTTCCATGACGGAAGCTTGGCACTGTGTGTTAGGAACTCAATGAATGAGTGAATGATACTAGGGAAACAGAAGAGAGACAGAATTAACATTAATGGTGCAGTAGCTCTGAGAGTTTTAAATCTTTATAAATTTTTTTTAACTCTTCAAATACCTTATGCCAGATTCTGCTTTGGTCATTTTGCAGGGGAGATGCCAGGGGTATAGACGGCGTCACCGCATATCTTCTTTTCGGCCAGTGGAGGATATCACTGAAGAGGACTTAGAAAATGTTGCCATAACTGTTCGAGATAAAATCTATGATAAAATTCTGGTAAATTACAAATGATGAGTAATTGGCATGATTCTGATTCTCACTGGGAGTCCAGGGCATTGGTATTTGAAATCCCGTATTGTTTTTAAACTGTACCTGGACTTAAGACACCTTTGTTGCCTTCTCCTCAGGGCTTAAGTGGAGGGGTCAGCTCTGACTGGGAAAGTATAGTAATTCCCATCAGGAAATACCAGTGTGCATACAGGGGGAAGCAGGGGTATAGTTCAGAAAAGCAAATTTATTTAATGATATTTTAACATTACTATAGTTTTGCACATTGAAAAAGCAATGTGCTTTTTGGTTAATATAACTATAGAAACTATAATTTAAATAATGAAACTGATTTAAATGGAGGCTTTGTGTTCTTCAATTTTTAGATGATGGGTTTCTGTCTTAAAGTAGTATTAAAATATTTTTAACTACCAACATTATAAAAACAGATTTCATGCAGGTGTACCTTGTTCTGTTACTCTTTGCAGATACTGGGTTCTTTACACATTGTAGGTTTGTGGTCATGACTAATGTTTTGTGTTGAGCATGTCTAATTGGCACCATTTTTCCAATAGCACTTGCTCACTTTATGTCTGTATGTCACATTTTAGTATTTCTTGAAATATTTCAAACATAGTTGTTAGGATGATCATGGTGATGACTCACTGAAAGCTCAGATGATGGTTAGCATTTCTTAGCAGTGAAGTATTTTTTTAGACATATTGCTATTGCACACTTGTGTAAACATAACCTTTATATGCACTGGGAAACCAAAAAACTCACATTCACTTTCTTGCAGCAGTCTGGAACTAACCTGTGATGTCTCTGTAGTATATCTGTACTGAGAACACCCAGATTTGGGAAACTAGGTCAGAGACCAGGGATGCCCAGGGCTCATCTGTGGCTTCTCTGGTTGAGTCTGTCCACCTCATCATTTCGTTTCTTCCAGGCCCTCTGCTCAGTCTCATCTGCCCTGATAAGCTCTGGCTTCAAAATTTAATGCTTACAGGCTCCCAGAGGGTGTCATGGTCTGTACCACAGAAATGATGCTGCCCGATTCTAGGAGAGGCAGTGCTCCCTCGTGGCCTGTTCATCCCACGTTCACCTACTCACTTCCTCCCCCTCCTCAGGGTAACACTTGCCATCAGTGCCGGCAGAAGACCATTGACACCAAGACCGTGTGTCGGAACCAGAGCTGTGGTGGGGTGCGAGGACAGTTTTGTGGGCCCTGCCTGCGGAATCGCTATGGGGAGGACGTGAGGTCAGCGCTGCTGGACCCGGTAGGAGCAGAAATTGTATTTATCCTGAATTGGGTTGGTGAAGGGAAGCAAGCTGAAGCTCCTTGGGCATGTTATTGGGGACCTTTTGCTGCAGATCTCTGGTTTCACCCCTCACCCTACTGTCTTCCACTTAATACTTGGGGACGGGGAGATGAAAAATAGGGTTTCCTTCTAGAAAGCAAAGAGGTTGGCCAACAGGTCAGGAGATGAGAGTGCCTTGGGTTTGCCAGGGTCAGAGGCAAGCCTCTGTACAGGTGAGTCTGTGTGCCTGTTCTCCAGCCATGTGAGTTACCTGTGTGTTCCTGGGATGGGCAGAGCACCGTATAGGGGGCTCTTGATGGGCCCAGCACTGCTTTAAAGGTTTCACATTTTTTCATGCATTTTTTTATTTTAGTTATTCATTAACCATGTGAAGTAGGTATAGAACCTCCCTAGTCAAATAGACTGCTATCAAGGTTAGTATGCACACTCTTAAGCCTGGGCATTCTGGTTCCAACTTCTGTGCTCATTACTGTTGCACTGTAATTTTTCAGGGTTTCTCCATGTGTGAGTGTTGGTGATCAGCCTTTCTGGGCCTTTTTGAAACATGTGGGAGGAGATACATCAGATAAGCCTTCACCTGTGACATACACCAAACAATAGCATGTGGTTTAAGCTCGGAGGAGAGGCCAAGTAAGCCAGGCTTGATCGTAATCTGGTCTTGCTGAAGCCTGTGGATAATGGGAGAAACTTCTCTCCTAGGACTGGATGTGCCCTCCCTGCCGTGGGATCTGCAACTGCAGTTACTGTCGGAGGCGTGATGGCCACTGTGCCACAGGGATCCTCATTCATCTGGCCAAGTTTTATGGTTATAATAATGTTAAGGAATATCTGGAGAGGTGAGTCTTACAGATATGAAATGGAGGTCGTAGTTCCTGGGTCCAGCAGGGAAGCCCCTCCAGGCAGGTAGTGGTTGCCACATTGGAAAATCTCAGAACTGATATTTTCCCTATTAGGAAATCTCCTTTGCTAGAAGCTTGACTCTACTGCCTGTATCCCACATTTCCTCTTGCTGTGTAACATAAATGGAGTCTATAAGGCCAATTGTGAAGACCAGACACAGCCCTCATCCTATTGGGCAGTTCTCTTAGGTCATAGTTATTTCATTCTGGGGATGAGGAGACAGAATTTAACTCTAAAGCGTGTGTAGCTTTGAACAGTGGGAGTGAGGCGAGCCTAGTGGGCTGCCGAGTCTAGAATGCCATGTTGTATTTATCTCTGTCCTATTTACTAGCACTTCCCATCTTTCTCTCAGCGTACAAAAGCAGCTGGTAGAAGACAATTAAGAGAAGGAAGAACCAGCCAACTCACCATAGAGAACTCCAATAAGACATGCCGTTTGTGCCTAAGATTTAAGATTTTATACAGAAAGTCTTTAAATACTGTTTTTTTTTAAGATTGTTTATATGCTTATATGCTTTTATATGCTTAAAGATTTTTTTCAGGAAAACTGCAGAGGAATCTATATACATGTATACGCAGGCCTGTTTGTACATTGAACTGTTAAAAGCAGCTAATTAAGAAGCACAGTTTAAAAGTGGATGGAGGTAAAGTTCAGGTTAAGGTTCAGCAGCTGTTGCCTCGATCTCTTTTACTTCCAAATAGTAACGAGGCCAGGTTTTTACCTTATTATATGAATGAGACCATAGTTCTAAACCATATAGTTTAAGAATGTTCCCCTAAATCACAAAGTGCAATTAATCAGAGAAATTAAGAGGAGTACTAGAGCTTTATTTTTACTAAAACTTAAATGAACAAAAAGTCGACTGCCCTGTTACCGCCTCTGGAGGCCTCAGGCCTGGCTAGCCAGCAGGAGCATCTGCCTCTTCATTCAAGGTTCACCTGCTTCTATATTTTAAGAGAACATAAGGGTTTATTTTTAATTTAAAAAAATTTTGTTTAGTATCTCTACAAACTAAAATTCTTCTTACTGACCAGTCATATTTTTTTGAAGTTGTGTAGCTGTCAATGGAACCTTGATGAAAACATGATACTTTTGTGCTAAGGTGTACTGGGGAGAGCTAAAAATCAACAGAGGCAAATGTAGAAAAAGTGTTTAAAAAAATGTTAATACTCATGTATTCTACTGAACAGTTGCATAAGCTGGAATATGTGTCATGCTTCTTAGCAGATTAGATTAATGTGCATGGGATGACTGGTGACAATGAAAAATCCTCACTGTGGTTCAGCATGAGGGCCATGTTATGCTTCTAGCAACAGAGCCACACCTGCCAGAACCCATTTGGCCGTCTTCTCTTTGCTCTTCAGCCTGAAGGTCCAGACATAGTTGGGGCCCCTTGTTTTGGTTTTGTACACGGGGCACGCATAGGTGTGTTTGGTTTCCTGTCTGTCCACGGGTATGGCTTTGGCAAAGAGGACTGGCATCATGGATCTTAGCTCCTTGAGGTGGGCTTCAACAATGGTTCCTGATTGTGTGTCCCACCGGGCACCTACGAGCAGACACAAAGGGGGCACTCGTGGGGCTTGTTGGTATTGATTCTCTGTTATAGGCAATAAATGTTCTGGTTTTGTCAACTCTACTGCTTGTTACTGGCTTCCTTACTGAGCTGGCCCGTGACAGACACATTGGGGAGCTTAAAACACCTGCTGCCCAGCACACTGCTTCCCTGCTTAACAAACACCTACACTTCCCTATGAAAAACTGACTTCAAAACGTGTAAAGCTTGTATGATGACAGATTCCATAAGAATCCAATAAACTAGTTTGCCCTCCCACTGCACCTTCTTTCCTTATGCCGCCTCCAAACAGGGAGCATCTTGGCACAGACAAAGAAAGCATTTCTCAAAGTGTCCTGGGTAAGAGGAACTGTCCTGAATAAATTGGGAAAATACTGTGGCCTCTACCTATACCCCACCCCCTGCCCTTAGATATTTTCAGTGTGCATTGGCATTTAAAAGACTTAAAGAAGTTTGTAGTATAATCTCAGAGTAAAGTTACTGACAACTTTTAAATTATCCTGTGGTATTACCACCAGCTATTTGTGCAAACTTAAATGATACCCATCACCTTAAATGCCTTAAAATTTTGCTCAGATTGGATACCCAGCATGTATCCCTTGTATCCTCAAACACACACGGTGTGTATCCCTTGGAGTGTCTTACCTTCCATGAGGAGCCCATGCAGATATGCGCCTTCTCTTGGGGGATGGCCATAGTCTTCCTTTGTTTTTTTGGTAACGTCAACAGTCAAGCATATTTTATCCAGGGGCCACTCATTTTTTCGAGCCATGGTCTGCATGATTGCTTTGGGAAGAGAAGAAACAGGAAGTGTACAGGAGCCACCAGTAAGCTGAGTGTCGAACCTGAGGTGGGCTCTGGTTCCATAGGGTGTTCTCAGTTCTTGAGCATTTGCATATGGCAACACTAGAGTCACGGTTGGCAAGCTAAGGCCTGCAACACAACCTCCCTGTTGTAGTAAATGATGTACTGAAACAGCCATCCCCCCTGGCTGTCTGCTTTGCACTATCAGGCAGAGTTGGGGCCATGGTGAGTGAGACCCCTGTGGCCCTTGACAGAACCCCATCCCACACGGTGGCTCCTGGGCCCCCTTTCCTGGGCAGGATTTCCACTAGGGTTTGGTTCTGTCAGCACACCAGGGGCTGCACTGCCTCAGCTCTTACCAGTTAAGAAGGACTGAGGGTTGAAGAAGCCAGAAAGCCACACCACAGCTGGAAGGGTGAGATCTTGTGTCCAGGTATCCAGTTCTCGACATCGCAAGAGGAGGTCAGTAAACCTATTTAATCGAGGGCAGGAAGAAACAAAATATTTAGTAATACAGAATTTTTAGAGTAAAATTGAGTAGATTCTGGGGACGGTGGTAGAGATGCCTACCACTGAAAATCAGTGAAGTGGTGACATGATGATGCGCCGACACGGTCTCTTTAAAGGGCTAGATTTTTTTCCTGTTGAGATTTTATATCTTAACTGTTTATATTAGGCACAAGAAACACGGGAGAATGTGGAAAATCTGTTTTCATTTATTCAACTATTTTATTTAGGCCCTTCTAGTGGTAGGTGGTGATTATACCCTGGAGACCTGTGTGTGATCTGGGCTGACAAGTGCCAGCACAGGACATGGGGGTGTGCACAGGGTGAGTGGGGCCACCGTGTGTGTTTGAGGAAGGGGAGGAGGCTGCAGTGATTATTACTAGACCAAAGTTGACGAGGCAGGCAGAGCATATGACAATAGTCTTCCCACATGCAATAATCACCTGAAAGGGGGAAAAGAAAGGTTATTAAAGGACACAATGACCTTCCATCCATTGCATGCCTGTGGTTTGAGAAGCTGTTGTTTTTACACAGGTTCACTTATCTCATTGGCACAATTATGCAAGGTAGGAAATACCTGCAATTTGCTTTGAGGAAGCCAGCTCACAGAGGCTTAGGAAAAGTGAACCTCTTTGATAAAATGAGGAGACATGTGAAACCTTGAAATACAGGTTTACAGGCTGCTAAAAACTGGAGAAATGGAGCAGGGTATGAGATGGAGCAGAGAGGGGACAGCCCCAATGTAAAAAAGCCAGCAAGCAGTTGTCCAGGGTGGGGGCCGTGCCGGGCAGCACTGAAGTTTCCTGAGAAGGGACCTGGTTTGGTAGAGTTGCAGAGGCAGCAGGGCTGAATGAGGGAGCCACCCCAACAAACCACAACTGCAGGAAAGGAACATCTTCCTGAGATGGGCTGTGAAGGGGGAACGGGTCTAAACATGCACATTCAGGTCACACCACAAGGACAATCCCTGCTCTCAGAGAATACGGCCCTGTGTCCTTCCCCATACTAAATTCTTCCAAATAGCTGCTGGTTTAGGGAAAACTTTTGAAGACATAACACAAAGGAAAAAGAGCACAGAGAAGGAAAAGCGAGGAGAGGAAAAATGTCACAAGAAGATAAATATTACAGCCAGACAATTTTCAACATTTTAAAAAAAATGAAGCGATTGCTTATATAAACAAGATTATGGTTTAGAAGTGATCAAGTAAGAAAAGGAAATTAAATGGGAAGGTCTCAGAAAGTAGAAGTAGGAAAAACAATTCCAGAAATGAAGGCAAGGAGTGAAGCAGCATAAGCTCGAATAAGCAAACAAAATGGAAATAAAAGTTAAGGGATTAGAGTGAAAAGGTGAAAGCTGAAATGAAACATGACTTGGTCGTACAATTCTAGAAAACGATTCCTAAATTAGAATTTTGAATCTGTATAATCAAAGACATATTTCAAGAAAATTTAACAGAATAATCAATATTATCATAGACTGAAGGAAAAAAAAAGTCAGCTTCACACACCTCCACAGCAGTATTTAATCAGAATACAACAATGTCTATAAAGTCCTCTAAAATTGAATGTTTTTTTAATAACTAGCCATACTATCATTCAAGTCTGAAGACAACTGATTATAGGCATGAAAACCCCCAGCAAATCCAATAAACAGGGTTGATAACCAGAAGATAAAAATAAGAGAAATCTGAAGGAAAAATTGTTTAAACTTGTGAAAAGAAAGATGAAAACAGGAAATTATGAAACTTAATCAGGTGTAACTTGGAACTGAAAATTGATTTTGGATGATGAGATCTTTAAAAAGGGAGAAATGGACCCAAGACAATTGAAGATACAGTGATCACCCATAACTGAAAAAATCAACCAGAATATAGCAGATAGACACACTGAAAATGGGAGTTCAGGTAGATGAACAATGAAGAGGATGGGGAAGGTGATATTTAGAGAAGGGCAAAGAATAGTGGAAGTGACAGGCTGACTCACATAACAGCACACAGAACCAAGCAGGACTTTCAAAAGTACACCTTAATACTGGCAGAACAATTATAGAATATTAAGGGTAAAGGGAAAAAAGTCTTAAAAACTTCCCAGGGAATGCAGTAGTAGTTGTGAAGGAATGACATATATTTAAGAACTAACTCATTTATAGTAAATGCCAGAAGACAATGGAATTAAAACATGAAGTTCTGAAAGAAAATCATATCCTAGAATTCTATATATCAGTAAACTATTAAGAGAGTGCAGTGAAGAGAGTTCAGGCAAAGAATATCATTTACTCTGTACCACGTACTGAAATATTTCATCTTTTAGTGAAAAAAGGGCCAGAACAAAGAAGCCCAGAATGAGATGCAAAAAAGCAGCAATGAGCAGAGAAATCAATATATGTTGTTAAAGCAGAAATAATTATTGACTATAACCAAAACAGAAATACTGTGTTTTAAAATAAGGTTGAACTGTAATTCCAGGCCAGAGGAGGCTGATGTTCAGAGGGAGGTTAGAAATATCAAAATGAAAAAGTGTTGACTTTATGTCCTATTAGAAAAATCAAGTGGACGTTACAATGTAAACTGTCTCTACTAAAATAATAGGCATTGTAAAAGGATAAACACGGAATAAAACTATTAAACTGACAAGTCAGAAAAGGAGAAAAAAAGTACAAGAACTAGAAAGCACAAAATAAGATGGTGGAAATAAGTCCAAAATTATAAAATTAAAGTGTGAATATAAATATTTTTAATTGGAAATACAAAATCTGGTTTTGGATATTCATAGCATTAGATTCAGTGAGACGGCTCACTCTTCCCTGCTGCAGTTATTTGCCACCATCTGTGGCATTTACACATTGCACCTTCTATTCCTTTTGCACACATCCCACACAGCGAGCACCTGGGTACCTGTACGGGGGGCAGTTATGCAGTCATTTGGAATTCTAGTGGGACCTTCCAGTTTAAGGTTCAGAGTAGCATTCTGGTTCATGGAAAAAAGGTTTAAGAGAGTGATAGCCCCCATATTGAATAGTCAGGAAGAGAGACCCTTGTGAAAACTCCCTGTATGGACTACCAAGGCCAACAAGCATTGGAGAGCCCTGGCTTCAGGGGGCTGTGAACTTCTGTCCCTGGCTTTGTGACACATCTGTGCAGTCATACCCCCATGTTCAGGACCATACTACAAACTCTTAAAGTTAACCGTGAGATGACATTATCACTGGCTTTTTACATAAGAATGTAAGATGACATAAAGCAAACTGAAGTTGTCCTCCATAGCCATTTAAATCAACAACTCATAGAGGGAGTTCTATTATTGTCTACGTTTTTCAGATAAACACACTAAGAAATCAGGTCAAGTACTTTGTCCAATAGCTAATAAGTAAGCTGATTTTGAATCTTGTTTTGACACTGACTATTTTTGCTTTTGGAGCAAAACACTAAGGAGACTAAAATGAAACTGGTGGTAGTTTGCACACGTATGGCCTGAGTATAGTCACAGAGCACAGTCTTAAGAGGCCGAGTAGTAATTCAGAATACCTAAACCAGCACTGAGGTGGATAATGGCCAGTGGGAGTGCAAATGAGGTAGCTTACCACTGGGCCAGCCCATAAGTAGATGGATAAGCCAGTTTACTCCACGTGTCTGGTACTGTGTCGTAACTCAACAGGGTCTGCTGGGCTTCCATGTCAGGAGATAACATCAGCTCCCCCTTGCATGGAGAAAAAGGGCACAGAGTGAATGTCTTCTGATGTGGCAAAGCCTGCCCTAGTTCCACTTTTAAGCTTACCTTCAAACCAAGGTCTAATTGTTGAAGTGACACACGGATTTCCCGAAGGAGAATATTCATCCTCTCACATTCTTGGAAGCAGACAACAACGTAGGGGCTTCTATTTGAGTTTTTTTGCATTATCTCTGCTATGTTGAACTCATCTGGAAGTCTCTCCAGAATGTCATCCAAGACATTCTTAACCTTAAATCATTAACACACACAAAGATTAATCTTTCTATTTTATTTTTGGTCACAGTGGTTATATATATATATATTTCCTCTTTTTTTTTTCTTAAGTCACAGCATATATCATGCAACTCTTTGAGATGCTTGCTAATGCATGTAAAAGATGCCTACTACTCTCAGGAGTTGGGTAGAGGGGCACGCCAACAACTCAGTCTCCTGCATCAATGCAGCCTCTCCCCTTCTTGACACCCCTTCAGGGAGGGGCTACTGTTTGCAGCTTATTCACTGTTAGCATTTAAGGAAGAGCAGAGCTGCCATCAACTATGTTTCATTAGTATATAAAAAATATAATCAGAGAAAGTAGAACTCCAACATTTGGGTATTACATTTTATAATCTGCTAATTGAAAAAAATTCCATTTGAAAAGATATACCAAAGGTGGATGCCCTTTGATCTTGAGTTAATTCTGGTAACTTATGATGCTGCCCTCCTAACTAACATATCCTAAATTTTGGGAGCAATTAGATCAACATTTTCAAAAACAAGGAAGCCTCTATCTTCTATAATTATTGCCCTGAGGAAATGAAAGATACACACTGAAGCTGTGAGTAGGTCCATAGGACTCTGATGCGCTTACTCTATCTGTGCAGTTTTACTGAGCTGGGGAAAACCAACAAATATGTAGAGTGGATAAAAAGTTGAGATTCTGCCTGTCTTCAGCCACAGGCAGCTTTCCTTTCCTTGATTTCCTGGATTACTCCTGTGGCTCTGACATGCTTGCAAGTTGCTTTAGCATCCTGGCAGGTAACTTGTTGGGTCCTGAAATCTTAAACTCAGGTTTAAGATTTCTATCACAGTTATAGAAAGTATGAAACACTCTCTCAGTGTAGTAAGAAGTTAGTTAAAGAATGGTTTCTGAAATCAATTTGGTTTCCTTCATTGGCCCTTACTAGTAGTTTAGCCTTGGCAAGTCACCTAAGCTTATCTCCAAAATAGGGATTTCAATAATATAATAATACAACATTACTCAGAGGCATTGAGGATTAAGTGGCATACCTGTAAAGCATTTGTATTTACAACTTTATTTCTTTAGTGCCTAGCATGTAGTATGCACCCAACAGATAGTGCTACAACCTGTGCGCATATCTGGTGTTGAGGCATCTTTACCTCATGGGCTTTGCATTTTCTGGCTTATTGGCCAGCTTCCTAGGTGGAAAGATTGAAGACCCCAAACCAGATGAAGACCTCAACTACCTCCTCACTGCTTCTATTCATAACAGCTTTCCCCAGATGGACGAATTTTTTTTCCTTGTACATCTTCAAAAAAAAATCAATACTCACATAGGGAAGATGTTAGGATATAGGATAAAACACCCTACAACAAATTCTAAAGCTTCTAAACTACAAATATCTGAAGAGCCTTATTTCAAGAAACTGAAAAATTTCAAGAAATAGCTTGGAATGTTCCTAGGGTCTCACTATAATTAGGTCTGATGGTTAGTGTATTCCAGCAACCTGAATCCATTATCAATCAAATCCTGATTAATAATTTTGAGAGAGGAATATGGGCTAAATTATTTGGGAGTTGGAGAATAAACTAAGCAGGTTTTAAATTAATGAGAAACAAGATTTTAATCTAAATGTGAAAAAAAAAAGATTGATGTCCATGTCTTACCCTATCACTATGGGTCAACAGATAACTTGCAAAGAATAATAATGCCAGTCTCCCAAGACAATGTAAAATAAAAATCACCATAACAAAATGACAAAGCCAAAAATATTGAGAGTGAAAGGCAAGCCACAGATTTGGAGAAGATATTTCCAATACATCTATCTGACAAAGGTCACATGTGAAGAATAAAGAGCCCTCACAATTCCATAGGAAAAATATTGGAAAACCAATTAAAAAACAAACAACTGGAACTAGTACTTCACTTAAGAGTGTATCCAAATGGCCGTAAGTGTATGAAAAGCTGCTCAACACTATTCCTCAACTGAGGAACTGCCAGGAAAGCCATAGTGGAATACCATTACCCCTAATGAAACTGCAAGGAGAGCGAACAATTGGAACTCACTGCCCGTGGATGTAACTGGTACAACCACTTTGGAAAACTGGGAGCATCTGCTAAAGCTAAACGTTATACCCTAAGGTCCAGCAGTTCCACTTCTGAGTGTAGAGAATGAGTATTATGAGTGGATACCTTTGGGAGTTACCTTTGTCTCTTGACAAAAAAGAATTTTTTTTTTTCATGGCTGTGATAGTCACAGTAAAAAACTAGAAGCCACCCCAAATCCTTCCACCATAGAATGAATAAAGAACTGTACATTTATCACAGAATGCTGAACACAAACTAACTACTGGTCCATGCAACAACCTGGATGCATCTCACAATGTAATGTGGAGTGAAAGGAGCCAGACATAAATGAGTACAGACTGTATGACTGCGTGTATTTGATGTTCAAACACAGGCAAAGCTCAGCTGTGGTGAATGAGGGAAGGACAGTGGTTGCCTTTGGAATGGCAAATTGATAGGAAGGGTATATTGACCAGTAGAGGGCAGGAGTATCCTTCTGGAGTGTTGGAAACGTTTTCTGTTTTGACCTGAATGGTGATTATATGGGTGTACATACAAAGGTAACACAAAGAGGGGGCACACTTAACGTTAGTGCGTTTCACTGTATATACAACATATCTCAAGACAAAAGAAAGGTCCTCTACCTTTTCTTCTGTGGACTGTCCCAGCTCCTCACTCATGAGTGCATTCCTAGGCTGCATCTCCAGCAACACTCTGAAGAGAGTGTTGGATGTCACCGTCAGGAACTCTATTTCAGCATTTGGGTGGAGGCCGTACAGTGCCGGGCTTTCTGGAGGAAGCGTCTCCTCTATGTACTGGTGGTAGCTTGAATAATCTAGATTAGGTGGGGCTGCAAATCCTGGTGCCAGCATAAGTTCATCTTCAATCTTCAACCATAATGGAAAAGTCCGTTATTCCAAATCTACATGGGCATTAATCTTTGTTTCTTAACCACTTTGAGAACACTCTGGTAAGAAGGTTCCAGCACAATGCTGAATAGGTAGCAGGCTCTCTAAAATGTTTCAAGACCCTTTTGAAATCGATCATTCTGCTCCGAGTATGGCTCCAGGCTGACCTCTGGGGAGGAGTCCAAGGAACACACATGTATGAAGCTTACCGCTAAGACTTAGTTGGCAGTTTTCTTGGAGCAATGTGATACATGCACATGAAGGGAATGAACAGATGCTGAACCATCTACTATGTTTTGGTTATCCTGTCACATGCTTCAAGTCACTGATTCCCTCAAACATCTGCAAACATTTTGCAGAGAGAAATCAACAGTAACTTGCCCAGGCAGATGTTTGATTTTAATATTAATCATGAATTCATTTTAGTATGACTCTATAGCCTATGCTTTTCCACACTCTATATACTTTCCACAGATTGTTTTATGTGATATATCTGAACTTTATAAGCATAGTTATATGTGCATATATGGAAAATATGTATAAGTATGTGTGTAAATAACATTACATAGGGCCGTATACACTACGTCAAATCAATGCTACCTCCTCATGACTTTGAGGTACTCAGGGCAGAGTCTGTGCTGCTCATCTCAAGACCCAAGACCCTGGGACAGCTTCTAGAACATACTGGTACACAATACTCAGTTGCCTAATTAATGAAAGGCTGGAGTAAGGTGTGTGTTATAACTATCCACTTCAGTAAAGCCTAGGCTAAAGGGCAGACATTCCATGTAGAGGAACATTATTAACAAAGACAATGAGAGTACCAATACCAAACCTAAATATTACAATGCAGTTCTTCAAATGTAACAAATTATGCACCTGAGTCCCTGGTCAGCCATAAACAGAGTCAATCAAGTGCTTATAATTTTCTAGCTCAGTATAATCTCAGATATTTTTTTGGATTGTTCTTTAGTTTCAGGGGCCATTAGATCTCTGTTTGAATTTTCCTAGTCTCTCTTGCTGTAAATTCTGTCTCTTTACCCTCAAATGTACAGGGGAGTACTACTTTAAAAAAAGTACGACCTAATGCAGCTACATGCCTAGATTTTCTAAAATTGGGGTTTGTGTATTTTCTAAATTTTGTGTGTGTTTTCTAAGACTGTATGTAATGCTCTCTGGTCCCCTCACTCTCACCTGGAGACAAAGTGAATATTCACAAATGCTTATTCAATACTATGTTCTGAATGCCTAGTAAACCAATAAGCCTTGGAAGTAGGAAAGAGTCACATGACCTGGTACTCCTGGAATTACCAGTCTAACGGGGATAAAATAAGTATGATTTTCTACAGTTATGTCATGAGTGAATATCAGTGGTTTCTTCCTGCGCCAATCTTCAGTCCCAGATTTCTTAGACAGCTTGAGTCTTTAGAATCTATGCTAAATGGCTGTCTGTGAATTCCAAAAGACGTTTTAATTATTTGAGTCAGATTTCTATTTTATACCAGGAGGATGTTTATGTTCTCTAGTTTTCAAATAGCCAGAAACAAATCTTGACCCAATAAATATGAGGAGAAACAACTTGTACTACCTTACCACTAATATCTATTAGTTTGGGTTTTTTACTCATTTATTCATATTTGCTGTCATTCTATATTTATATACTAGAAAAATTAAAATTTAAACTTCACCTGACTCAAACAAACTGTAAAGGAGATTTAAACTCACAGTTTTGGTCTATGACAGCTAAATTATTGAAAGTGAAAATATGGGCACAAAATATGAACAATAAAACCAAAAGCTGGAATAAACATCCAAACTGAACATTATTCCCCATAAACAAGGACTTGGTCTTCCCGTTAGTGCTCACTCTGGAGAGTACAAAGAAACTTTAAGCGCCACAGTAAAGCTGCCCTTCAATAAGGACAAAAAGTTGAAAATGAGAGTTGCAAGCAAAGAAATGAACCAAAAAGTGGAACCAGTTAAAAATGTCAGAATGCTGTGGGGAAGGGATGCTTGAGTGCAGACTTTATAATGTTGGTGGGAATACAAATGGTCCATGCTTTTGAGAAAGACAAGTAGTGTGTTTACAAACATGTGAAGGATGTCTTTTACATGTTAGGCAATGAGCAAAGCACAGGAAAGGGCTTGAGGTTTACAGCCAGACAGACCTGGGTTCATTTCTCATTCTTGAAGTTTTGGTGGCCTTAAGAAAATGGCAGTTCATATGAATTTCAATCTTATCAGTAAAATAGGGCTCATAATAGCAAGCTAATGACTGTGGCTCTAAGAATTTGATGACCAGGTATGCAAACAGAATTTACCAGGTATGTAAGAGACACACAGTAGACTTTTTACAAATGTTAGTTTCAGTTTTCTGTGTGCCTTATAAGCAGACATGATTATTTGCAAGCACATCTTGGTTTTCTGGAAGGAAAAAGACAGCCTGAGAAATGTCCTACTGTAAATTCCTACTATGATGTCAAACAAGCAAAGTTTGAAAAGTAAGGCTAGGTTCACACACACAAGGCCTGTGTTCCCTTTTAACAAAACTGAAGATTTCATTGTACTCAGTGAGCTCTGTGAATTCTGACTCTAGGCCTTCTTCCTCCCCACTCAATGGTTTTTTTGAAAAGCTGTTCTGGTGGGACAGAACCGCAAAGCTCCCTGCACAGTGGCCGCCTGTCTTGCCTTTGAGAAGGTGGTGGTTTTGCCTCAGGCAGTAGTTCTAAATAGACATTTCTCCAATAATGATACAAAAATGGCCAATAAGCACAGTAAAAAAATGCTTAACATCATTAGTCTTCAGGGAAATGCAAATCAAAACCCCTGCACTGCCTCTCCAAGTAGTCTTGGTTCTGACAAGAAGCTCCCAGGTCATTAAGAGTCTGACCAAGTGCATTTGCCCCCGGCCTTTTGAGTAGAAAATGCCATGGCCCCAAAGTGCAATGAGGGATTGTCAGAAATTACTCAAGGTTGAATTACATTATCATGATGTCTTTAGAGCCGAAAGGTACATCAGATCTTCTAGGTGAAACCTTCATTTTACAAATGAATAAACTGAGGTACCAGATGGTCCTGCACAAAGTCAGCCAAACCAGAGCTAGAGCTTGAGTCTCCTGGGTTGTCTGGTGTTGTTCCTGTTACCACCCTGTGGCACACACTGTGCCTGGGGCACACGGGCAGTGCCCTGGTGACGTGCGCCACAATGACTGAAGCCAGTAGCTCAGCTGCCAACGCAGGTGCTGTGGGGAAGGACGGGGCCTGAAGAGTCTGACTGTGAGTTCACATGCTGGTGTAAGCCACTTACCAACTGTTGGACAGCTCCAAGCCCAGGTTTCTTTTTTGATTCCATGGGATAGTAATACCTACTTCACAGGGTTTTAGTGAGCAGAAAAATCATACACTAAACTGAGTAGTACTGACCCCTAGTATAGAGCAGGTATTTAATAAATGGTCTCCATTGTTATAATCACAGATTAAATATAGTCAAATCTGAAATATATATTCTGAAAATTTATAAATCATAATAAGAAATACCTCCTATTTCTTAGGCATCTTGTTCTAACAGTATACCAATGGTTAAACTTGACAACAGACCCATGAGTTGGGCCATTCCTGTTTTATAGATGATAAAAGAGACTCAGGTTCAATGGTGTGCCTGCAATTGCATAGCAAATATACAGGAGAATTGAATTTGAACCCTAGTTGGTTCGTTGGTTTTTACTGCAAAGCCCCTCTTAATTGTTTATCGCCAAAATTATTTTTTATATATAAAATATTAGTTTTTAATATATGACAACTTTGAGGTGATCTGATGCCTCATTTTCCTAAGGTAATTTACTGTTCTACTTGTTTAGCAGCGCCCAATGTGTGTCCTAGATGGGACCATAATATGTCCCTGACTTTGGCACGTTGTCATTGGAGATCCCTTGGAGTGCAGCCTCATGATCTAACAGGAAACTCATCCTTCCTCCTCAGGAGATTGAGGTCATGAAAAACATTTCAAGTGGTGGAACTTTAAACACTGCACCATTAATATGCAACCAAAGATACTAATTTCCAAACAAGCTATCCAATGTGAGGAGAGGCAAAAAGGAGTCCTTCAGATGCTGAAGTCTTAGATCAAGTTCCTAATGGTACAAACAGCAAGAGCAGGAAACACCTGCAGGAGAACAAAATAACTGGGATTTTGCAGCATTGGACACAGAGGCAGTGAGGGCTTTAACTGCCTTTGGTGAGTAGAAAAAGTAGCACTCCCCAGCAAAGATGTAAGATTGTGAAAGGAGGATGTCCGTCCTGAAAACTAGGTCTGCACAGAAGGGCAGGTACCTACATTTCTAAAGGGCTAACACACACAGTCCTGCTGCCCCACAGGTTTGTCATCTAGATTTATTTTATATTTATTTGAATGGGAGTTCAGACTTGTGCAGGTTAATGGACTGTCTGGCTTGGCAACAGTAATTCACTCCTTATCCTCAGGTGAGAGCCGAGCAGGAATATCAGTGTGAGCTTCTCACTCTGCCCCTTGACCTCTGCCATCATTTGGAGAAATCAGCCTCTGTAAAGGTTGAGCACCAACACTGTTTCTCTTTTCTATCTCCATGGTAACCTGCTCCCAGACCTCTTCTGAGGAGTGACTTCCAATTGTGGTGAATTCAAAGTGTCCTTCTGACCTGTGCAATCCTGCTCTTTAGAACTAGGGAAAGACCAGGACACTCAGAATCAGAGACACAGACGATGGTCACGTGGCAGGAAAGTGTTTTTCCTGTATTGTCCCCAAATTGTTTAATATTATTAAAAGTAGTAAAAAATAATCTGTCTCCAATTTTCTACATTAGACTATAACATGTGTTCTAATATATGATTATATTACTTCTAAAAATAGATAAGAAGATCAAAACTATATAATGCTTTTATGAGATGACAGTTCTCAGAGAAATTATGAACAAGAGGCTACTCAAACTATTAAAAAAAATAAGTCATTGCTCTAAACACACTTGGTATCTTGTCCATGGTGTGAGGTAGGGTGCCTTGAGTGTTCAAGAAATTATCAGGCAATGGACCTGGAAACGTTTAGAGAGAGAAAGCCTGAGAAAGTGTGGCTGCCATTCTCAGTTACCTCAATATAGAAAGCAAGGGCTGAGAACCATTGGCAGAAAACAGCCCTGGTCACAAACATGGTGGGTGTTTGGTCTATACGGACATGGGGTTGGTAAGATGATAAATGGGAAAGAGTTTGTGGACTCTAAACCCCAGTACTGGGGTGCTTTACCCTTCCTCAAGGAAGGGAGAGCTGGGTTCTCTAATCACCACATTTTTAGTGAGCACATATTTAGTTAAGAATTAGTGATCAAAACCTAGATGACTCCACGGCTCCTGTGATAAGGGAACAAAGCGATAGATTTCACCTATTTCAGAGCCCTCAGATTGAAGTCAGTACACCTATCTTCTGGAGTAAGCTTTTGCCCATGAAAACCAAGTGACCTGGGGCAAATCACTAAGCCTCAGTTTGTCCATAAAATGGGGAAACTGTCAGTTCTGCCTCACAGGGAATTCCAAAGGCCTAGTGACTGAGTCGCATATGAGAAGGCTTCACCTAGACACATGCAATGGTGCCAGAAATCACCCAAAGGCTATTATTGGTAAGCAGATTCTGGTTCCGTATTTTGGGATGGGCTTCAAAACTCTGCATTTCAAACAAATTTACAAACTCCCTTGAAGGCAGGCCAGATTACACTCACAGAAGACCAACAATCTTCAATAATAGTCAATAATTATTTACAGAGTGAAATTAGTTTAAAAAATCTCAGAATTTTCTCCTCCAGGAAGTGAATTAAAAATGCCTTACCAGAGATGGATTAATGAATTCTTCTAAATACGCTCGACATAGTTTGCGATCCCAGTCATCTGTGATGTGGCCCCCATACATGATCTCACCAAAGAGATAACGGAGGTCTTCCCAGGGGACCTGGAGAGAAGATCACACCAACATTCACTTCTGAGCCCAGGGTGTCTGACTCAGAGGGGCCACCTAGTGGCACATACCCCACTAACACAATGCTCCCTCAAACCCTCATCAACAGGAACACTTGAAAGAGGTTCAGAAATTGTCTAGGCTTCTGCATAGAATTTCTTGAGAGACTCATTTTCAGTGTGTTTTAATACAGTCAGTGGAGCTTTTTAATGCAGATTTTAAAGCAAACTGAATTGCTCCTAGAATATGTTATATAGGGAAAGTTTACACATTAAAAATCAGGAAAGGGTGTTGGTTCATAAGGGTTTTGAGGTATGACATGTTTTTATGGTCTGACTTATATCAGGTTTTATGGTCTGATTCAGGAAAAGAAAGAAAACCCCGTATCATTTGAATTGGGGGTGCATTTAGAATTCCATCACCTTCTAAAAGTCCAGGTCCACCAATACCCTGTGCCACAGACCGACTTGAAGGCTTGGTTTATGCTATGACTGGCCTACATAACTGCTGTAGGGGTCCGAACTAGTGACTATACCAGGTTTTGTTCAAGAAATCACTCTATCTCCTCTTCCTTTGGCTGAGCAGGGTTTGAAGCCTCTCTTTGTTACCCTTTCTCTCCCTCTGGGTTTGCAAAACATGCCAGTTTGTGGTGAAGCCTTTCTAGACAGGAACCTTTATATCCTTGGGGGCAGTATATTGCCTCCCAGCAGTTCAAGTAAAACTTAATTATAACCTTCATTTGTGGCATGATGTGACAGAACAAGTAAAATTGCTCCAACTATTCTACTGTACTTGCTACAAGTTTATTTGAATTTGAATAAATGAACCTCAAATATGTCTTTCTTTTAAGCCAGTTTGATGTGAATGAAAAATAAAAGAGAAGTGGCTAGACTGCATCATGCTCTCTACCAGCCATGTATTGTTTCTCCTAGAGCTGAAATCAATGGCAAGCAAAGGCCTCTTAATTTTCCCTCTCCTGGTTATATTTAATTAATGCTTGCTATACATTTTGCCATCAGATATGTATCTCCCTCAAGATTTTAATCAGCTAGGGATCTGTTCTTCTTGATAACTGATTCCCTTTGCATGAATCCTAATCTTTGTTTTTTTACATATCTTCTCGAAAAGGGCATTTTGTACAAACTATGTGTACATAATAACTTAATTCCCAAATCCTGGTAACTTGCTTCATGATGTTTGGTGAATGACTTGAGTCAACACAACTGAGAGACAAGAGAGTATGTTAAAAACCTAAGGCTGTTTTGATCCTTAAACACCAGTGGGGAGGCAGCAGGACACAGCATGATTCAATTGGCCAACTGGCTTTGCCAAGCCACCAGATGTGAGAGCTGGGGAGAAATGAGTCAACTTCTCTACATGTCCTCTTCGTTTCTACCTCAACCGTGTACAGGATTCAGCTGAAAAAGGAGAATATTCCTGATCTCTCTGACTCATGGGACAGTTATGAAGGACTAGAATTAAAGTATTAAGTGGTCCATTTCATTTTCTACTCGACAAAAATGTACTAATAAGAACAACACAAAATATTTACTAGAACCATCAAAAATGATCAAAGTAAATCTCATAAATTAAAAAAAAAGATAGATATGGAATACTGATCATCAGCATACCAAATTAAAGCCATTTATTCTGGATACAACTTATTAAAAATGTATTTCCTGGTAGAACACACACTATGTTAAGTGTACATATTCTGATAGTAGTTATATCACCTTTGAAACCTGAGAAAACTTCAATAACAAAAGTTGTAACAATGGTTACCAAAAAAACATAAAACACATTTATCCCTAGAAACAGGGGTGAGTTGCTTTAAAGGCCCATTTATAGAATAAAATGTGGCCTAGAGCACAAACACCTACTTGGTTTTGACAAATATATCTCAATTTTAACTGCATGGAGAAAGTTCCCCTTATGAAGACAAAGTAAGAAAAGTCTTACAAATGTTTCTTCCTTTTTAAAATCCAATCACTGGGTTTATAAGTTTACACAAATATTCTTCCTGAAGCATTTGCATTTCCATCTGTAAAACATTTAAGCTATGAAATAAAATCATTCATCTACCTTTAACTTCAAATCAAGGGGGACATTACTGAGAAAGTCACAACAAGGTGGCATCCTTAATACATAATAATGACATATGCAGGAAATGCACCATTATTTATACATGTGACGTGCTGTAAATTGCTTCCATCATAAGAACTAATTGTAGTGATTATTAATGCAGTGTTATGAACTGTCAGAATTGCTGTATGTAATTACATTTGTGCAAATGCTTCATTACCTGCCTAATGAATCTGGCATATATGCACATGTAAACCACTGTTTTTGTTAACATAATGAAGGACATTTTTTTTTTTTTTGCACTAAGCTGCTGATGTAGAACTGGTGTGACCTATCATATAAAGTTCAAGCATGTACTGCTAGAAAACCTTTGATATGGTTTATTTTCACACTTGGCAGAAGATGCATATATAGTGTCAGCTATTTCAATAATAGTTACAAAAGAGAAATTATGGTCCATTTGACAGTGCCACAGGCAGATTCAGTGCACTCCTTGGCGGAGGTTATCTGACTGCTGCACTTACGTTAGCGCTTGCCTCTAAGTAGTTGTACAGGACATTGGCACAAATGGTGAGGTCTCCAGAACTGAAGGGATAGCTGCGGCTCCAGCCCTGGGGGCCAAACCTCCGTCTCCCGGCAACACAGGCGTGGAAGTAGCACAGAGAAAAGAGGATGCTTTTAAACTCCTGCTCCTTGGAGCACACTTCAAGTGTATCCTGGGAGAAAACAACAATGTTGATTATCCACCTGTGCAGGTTCCCAAGATCAGGGGCTGAGTTTTCAATAATCTTGCATAGGACTTGAGGGGTAACCCACAGGACAAAGGTAACCTGCATGGCTTTAAGCATGGCTGCCTGTCCTAGGACAGCCTACTAGGAGACTATCTACCTGGCATTTGCCAGTCTGTTCATTTAAGAGGAATGTGTTTATTTTGCTTCAGTTATTCTACTGAATGCTTCTAAGTTCACTTGAAAATGAGACGATTCATTTTGACCAGAAGTAATACTGCTTGACATCATTTTCCCCCACAAAGTTCTTGAAAAATATGAATGATAAAAGGACATCATTGTCATTTCATCACTGCAGCAGGATCGTGGCTAACCCCAGCTCTCCATTCCCCCTGGTTCCAGAGTAATACAAATTACCTGGGCCCCTGGCTACCCATCAAAAAATGATTTCCCAGCTTCCCTTGAAGGTAGGTATGCCACACGACAATGCTTTTGCCCTTAGAATTTGAGAAGTGATGTGCATAACTTTCATGTCATTTACTTAGAAGGAAACGACCTGCCTGGCTGCTACTCTTTCCCTTTTCTGTGGACTAGAAATGATGATGGCTGACACCCATGGAAGCCACGCGTTGAGTATAGTGAGGCGCCTGCCAGCTGTGTGGGTGGCTGGTCTCAGGGATCAGAGCTGCCGACTATGTGTAAGAGAAATTACCTTGTTTGAATCACTGTTGTTTTGTATTATACCTTAACTAATACAATTACCACAACAAATGGCTTCCTTTCAATGAACTATAAAAATAAAAATTCACTGCCAAGAGGATAGAATGGCATTTGGAAGACTGGAAAACACACACCCTGTAGACTACATCTGTAAGGTGTTTTCTGAAAATGCAGAAGGAAAGTTAAATCCTGGCATACTACATTGATATGGTTATGGCCCAACAGCCATAAAATTAAAAAGTGAAAAACAGCTATCTGATTTATGACTTAAAGGTAGTACTCTACCTATTTTCAGATTTGGCAGCTCTGTGAGGCAAACAAAGGGAAGTCGAGGACTATTCCTGCAGTTAATATTGGGCAGCAGAGGACAATAAGGCCGAATCTGTACCTCCTGGTGCATATTTAAAATGGATCTGACAATTTGGGTCATCAACAAAGTATATTTAGCACTTTTGAGGTGGGAGTTCAGGGCACTTCTGGAAAAGTCTAAACCAAGAGTAAATTTGTTCTCTTGGTCCAGGACCAGAGAACTTTTTTAGTTTCTTTTTGTATCATTTTAATCAAAATCCAGGGGGACTACCAAATGCAGTTCCAGATTTGGCCAGGTCATATACAGTGCAGACCCAATTAAATCACTAGACTATTTCTAGGTAATTTATGGGGCTTGAAAACACACACTCATTAAAAATAACTTTTCTAAACCACCAAATAAAAGGCAAGCTTATGAAAGAAGGAAAGAGAAACCATGTAACTGGAATTCATCTTGAAAGATATAAAAGTATATTACTTTTAAATATAAGAAACTCCTAGGAGATCAAATAGAAGTACTGAAATTTTATGTGGGCATTATAATCTAACAAGTCACTTAACTCCTCCCTGAATTACAGATAGTCCACAGAACACCTTGGGTAATACAATAACTAAGGACTAAAAATTAATTCCATCTATATTTCATATAACTAATTTAGTTTTATTCTCAGTGCTAAAATATAAATCACAAGTTAATGTCCACTTCATTATGCTCTGATAATATAAAGGCTACTGCAAGAAATTATGAATCAGGCTTTCCTAAGAAAAAGTAGGAGTCTACCGAACATTCCACATTTCAGTCAGTTGTATTTTTATAAACCAAATGATAAGCAAACTATTAGAAAATACACAAACAGCACTGTGAACAGAGAAAGGCATCCACACACACAGCAGAGTTTAATGCACACATGCCAACTCTACATGCACAATTACCAATTATTTGTTTCTGTTGCAAATATTACAGAAAAAAGAAATCTACATTCTCACTGTAAAAGTCTGGTTATCTGGGCATGACAAGAGTTCAACCATCTTCTTCAAGGGCAGATGTTATGAGCTGAAAGAGGTGTAGGTAGGCAGTATCCTGTAAGAAACAGTTCCTTGCATCCTGGGCAGTTAATGATTGTATTTACAGAAATATTCTGGAATGTGCAGGGTAATAACAAACATTATATAAACTTTGTTCATTATGAATGCACATGAGGTAAATTCTGATTTTGGGTGGAAGATTAAAAAGACAGATTTAATTTGATTTGAAAATTAAAGCATGAAAACAAAAACACTCAAACAAAAGAGTTAACTTGTCAGATCCCTTGGTTGCTTTTCTCATCTGATAAGGAGCAACTGGGACTCATTTACCTCCCCCAAGTGAGTACCATGGAAGATGGCATTCATCACCCTCTCTCCATGTCATAGGTCTCTGAAAGAAAGACCACGGCAGCAACACAGAACTCTCAGGATGGTACACGGAGACTTGGGAAAGGAGGAGATCTGTGATAGGGACTACTCACTGCCTGCCCTAAAATGCCCTGACTTCTGGCTGGGTATATGGCTGCCCAAGAGTCTTTTCAATAAATGTAACCTTTAGTTAACATAAGTGGTTTTCCAGACAGCAGTCAAAAGAACTGACACTTTCATGAATAAACTAGAACAGGTTGTTCTTAGCCAGGGAAGCAATTTATACATAGCTTTTGGGGGATTTCTTCATCCTGGGAGTATACACAGATTTTTTCATGTGCTTCTCCCTGGGGAGAGTGTCCATGATTTTATCAGATTACCAGAGGGGCCCTTACCAAAAAGAAAGCTGAAGGATAATTGGGTTGAAGTGTATTTGTTCATGAAATGCTCAGTTTTCACGAATAAAGACAATTGGTTCTGGAGAGTTGGATAAATCCTGTTTAAATATTCCAAACTCCTCTTTTGTACTTACTTTGGGCAAGAGCTTAGGAGTCATAGCGCCAGAAATTATAAATTGAGAGATCATTAAAAAAAAGCCAAACACATGCTTGTTATAATTTATACACATACACAAAACATACTGCAAATAATATATCGAGAAGATTTTTTGAGAGCCTTCTGTTTACTGTGTTTATATAGACTACAAGTTACTCAATTATTTAATTAAGTAATTAACTATACTTTCAAAACCGTATTCTTAGGTGCCTAATTATTATAATTCCTTCATAATTTTGGTTTGGGTATTGGCCCAGAAGGTACTAGAGAAAAAGTTAAGCATGTTGGCATGCTTCATAGAGAATGATAACATTTCTAACAGGAGGCTGAATATTTATCACCAAATCATAGGTATTTTCTCTTTGGGGCTCATTCTGCTTCTCCTGAAGAGAATGCTGTTTACCAAGGTTTTCTAAGAAATTTCAGAAAGGAATGGGAATTCAGAGAGAGAACAACAAAGGAAACTGAAAGGCTTTATTATGATATAGACAGATGTGATAATTTGGAATCATGGAGAACAGTGGTAATGGAAATATCATTAATTTATATATGTATTAATGTATTTGTCTTATTTTGGAAGAAAAAGAAAATATAAATAAGAAGGCATTATGGAGAGAATCTGAAAAAAAGGGCTTTAAATTTACTAGTATCTAAGCCAGATCTAAAATATGAATATTATACTGAAACTCTCCTCATGTCCTTATTGTTGTCATTATCCTCAACAACTAAGAATAACAACAGCTCATCTTTCTGTGGTAAGGTGCTCGCCTGCCATGTTTGTCATCAATGAACAGTTTCCTTATACTCTTCATTATAGTTCATTCTCCTTACACATGTGGCTGGTAGTTTTAGGGTAAAACAAACATATTTTTTCCATTGGCATAGGAGATGACAGGGGGAAGCCTTTCAAGTGATTAAATACACACACACACACACACACACACACACACACACACACACATGCACAAAAGATTTTACTTTGTCCTTCTGAGTGAGATGCATGAGCAGATGATGGTCCCACAGTCTTACGGGAAGACCTTGACTTTTATATCAGACCAGACTTCTGCTTTCTTACCTGATCAAAGTTATAGAGGGCAGCATGCAAATTGGCCAGCATTCCTGTGGGGGGTTCATTAGTAATCTTAATGGAATTTTCCAGGAGTCCTTGAGGGATGATATGTTCATTTGGTGTAGGTGCGGACTCAGCACTCATGAAAACCCTGTAATCTCTGTGGCTTCCTTGGCTGAATCTTTCAAGGAGTTTCTCCAAGGTTCCTAGCCACCTGGCCACCAAATGGACATTCTGAAAAATAAGCAGGGCTTATAATTTCTGTGAAACTGAAATACATTACTTTAATTATAGTATTCCAACATGTTACTATATGTAAAAGTGCTGAAATCTCAGAAAATCATGATTTAAAATTTCCTTTATTATGTTAGGGGAAGAAAACCCAAAAAACAAAACAGAATTGAACATTAAACACACTGAGTGCCCCAAATCACCACAGGTTGTCTTTGTAAACCCAAATCTCCTTCCAACACACTTACCTCCTTCTAACACCCACTTCTGAGATGAAGTTGTTGATATGTTTCTTTGTTCCAGTTCAAACTTAATTACTGAGACTTTGCTGGGTTAGTTTAATCAAGTAGGAAAACTAAAAGCCAGAAATGTACCTTATCACCCACTTCATTTTTTCTGATGGAAACCTCCTCGACTTAAATTCCTACTCATTAGTTGTGGACTCAGAAGGATGTGGGGGATGAAAGGCTAGCTGTAAAAGGAAGCAATCGCTCATTGCTAAGATGCTCTGCATATTCCTAACATGTAATTTTTCTTAAACCCCACAGTGTCAGAAATCATGAAAGAAACAAATGTTGCCACCATTTCTTTGATTTTCAGTTTTATGATTTACAAATTTGCTCCTCCAATACTAAACACCCACAGTGTACAGCTTGGTGGTTGGTCCTGAGAGAGAAATAGAAAGGCTATACCTCACATGATCTCTGACACTGGAGTGGTCCTTGGTATAGTGAATGAAACATGACCCCCAGGAATATGTAATTATTTCCAACAAAGAAAAATGTGTAGGATCATAAAAGCTATGAAAATACAGAGAATGAAGGCAAATAGAGAAAGGAATAGAAATGTAGGTATCTTTCTTTCAAACTGTTCTGTTATAAAAATGACCTATGCCAATTCAATTGTTCACATTAGGCTTTTTTTCCCCTTGGCACATACTGAACATTGGTAGGTATCATGGGCTGAACTGTGTCCCCCCAAATTCATATGTTGGAGCTTTAACACTCAGTTCCTTAGAATCTGACTGTATTTGGAACAAGGTCTTTAAAGAGGTAATTAGGGCTAAATGCAGTCATTAGAGTGGGACTTAATATGACTGGTGTCCTTATAAGAAGAGGCGATTAGGACACAAACACACAGAGGGAAGACCATGTGAAGACACAGGGAGAAGACAGCCATCCACAAGCTAAGGAAGGAGACCTGAGAAGAAACCAACCTTGCTGATATCTTGATATCAGTCTTATAGCCTCCAGAACTATAAGAAAGTAAATTTCTGTTGATCAAGCCACCCAGTCTGTGATACTTCAGTATGGAAACCCTGGCCAACTCAGGCAGTAGGTGAGGGCTCTAAGTGTCCTCCCCTCCACGCTTGCTATAGATCCTAATGAAAGTACACCCCACACCTACTTGTGCCACTCATACAAGCAGGAACACAAACAATAATAACCCTGTTTTGTAAGCTCAAATATGTCCTAATTCTCTATCTTATGGACTATAACAACATCATACTTGAGACGTTTTCTTGAAACAAATGTACATATATTCTAGGCAGAAAGTTCTTCAAGTGAGGCACACTGCACCAGGCACACTTTGGAATCCAACTTGGGAATGATTCTTGAAGATACTGACTTTGGGACTGGCTGGATTCTCATTCCTATTTCTCCAAGGGTGGCAATTCCTGTGCAACATTTGTAGCCAATCCATATAATCTTGAAAACTACCTGTTTTGCCCATGAAAAAAGATTTTTAAAATCTATTATGTTAATTTACAAACCATCTGGTATATGTCTAGGTAGATAACTGCCAGTCTGTACCTATCTTTGTGATGGTTTTCTCTGGATTATGGGATTTTGATAAAATGCTAGCTAAATATCGCTAGAAAGGCTCTCTTTGATCACAGTAATTGACCATTGTAGAATTTGGTTAAGAATTCATTAACATGGGCATACATATCACATGCCTGGGCTGATAAAATTTAATATAAATTACAAACAATACAGCAAGTTCCCAGTATGTTGGTTTTCTCTTTCTTCAAAGCTCTCTTTCTCTTTGTGATAATAGGGATAATAGGAAACTGGACAGCCAAAGGTCTGGGATAGTCTCTCCTCTCATTATTCTGCATATGGAGAGGAATAGTGAAAGAGTTACATTCTAAGTTACTGGCTTACCACTAACAACAAAAATCAAAGGTATAGAGTAGATATCCAAAAGCAGATTCTTCATAAAATAAAGTCTTTTGAGATTTTTTTTTTTTGCAGTAAAACTTAGAACTTACATTTCTGCAGGCAACTGGTAGCTCAGCATAGATATAAGAATAGCAAACCTTTTACTTTGGATACTATGTTCTCTTGAGGAGGACCACATCCCTCCTACCTGCTTTCCAGTCTTTGGTATATGTCTAGGTAGATAACTGCCAGTCTGTACCTATCTTTGTGATGGTTTTCTCTGGATTATGGGATTTTGATAAAATGCTAGCTAAATATCGCTAGAAAGGCTCTCTTTGATCACAGTAATTGACCATTGTAGAATTTGGTTAAGAATTCATTAACATGGGCATACATATCACATGCCTGGGCTGATAAAATTTAATATAAATTACAAACAATACAGCAAGTTCCCAGTATGTTGGTTTTCTCTTTCTTCAAAGCTCTCTTTCTCTTTGTGATAATAGGGATAATAGGAAACTGGACAGCCAAAGGTCTGGGATAGTCTCTCCTCTCATTATTCTGCATATGGAGAGGAATAGTGAAAGAGTTACATTCTAAGTTACTGGCTTACCACTAACAACAAAAATCAAAGGTATAGAGTAGATATCCAAAAGCAGATTCTTCATAAAATAAAGTCTTTTGAGATTTTTTTTTTTGCAGTAAAACTTAGAACTTACATTTCTGCAGGCAACTGGTAGCTCAGCATAGATATAAGAATAGCAAACCTTTTACTTTGGATACTATGTTCTCTTGAGGAGGACCACATCCCTCCTACCTGCTTTCCAGTCTGAGCCTCTGGATGCATGAGAACTGTCAGAAAACTTTCTTGGGTGGGAAAACCTCAGTGTCTACCAACTGTCAGCGCAACAACTGCTATATCTGAAAACAGAAACCCTCCACTGTTACCCACTTGACTCTGTGAGCCTCAGAAGGGGACACACCATCCCAAGTCACCTTACTAAAAGTGTCATCTAAACTTTAGAGAGAGTAGGTATTACTCTCCTAGAAGGTCGTATTCTGCTTGGACTCTGTGCAGCTTCTCTGTGAATCCACTTTTATTTCAACCAGAAATGCAAATGTTCTGACCTTGGACACTGGGGCCACTAAAGGAGGCCGATGTCCTATCTCATATCCCTGCATGAGGGTGGCAGCACGCACTAGTGGAAAGAATGTTGCTTGCAGCCAAACAGACCTGAAGTTGAGAACCAACTCTGTCATTTTCCAGCTGTGTGGCCTCGAGGCTCTCCAGGCCACTCTGAGGCTCACTTTTCTCATCTTTATAATGGAATGACAACACCTACCCTTTCACTTTTCTGTAATGATTAGAGAAAATGTATCCTGCAGATTGCCTAGTAAAGAGTCTGGCATATAAATGAGACCCTTTGGGATCTCTGTGCTGCAAATAAAATGGCCATTTCCAGACCTGCTGAGGTAGCTAGTGGACCTCACCATGGGAGTGAGCGTGGCTCCTGGGTGCCTCTAGAGCTTGTCTGGGCTCCCTTGGCTACTGGGTTCTTGCTAGAATCCCCAGCCCTGGGAGCTAACCCAGAGGACACTGGGTGGTAGAAAATCACAGACCCATATAACCCCAGAAGGGATAGAGGGGTTATCTACTCTAAGCCCCTTAACTTACAAAGGAAATGTTATGCAACTAGTTAGGGGCACAGTCAGAGTTGTGTGAGATGGAATAGGACACATGTTCTGTCCATTTAAAGCATCATGCAAACATGAGGTTCTAGGACAATGGTGTTGGCAGTCTATACACGTCTGTTTGTCCTCAGGCACTACTGGAGCGTTGCAGATATTTGTAAGTCTGGAGAAGGATGGGGCTCCTGCTGATATTTTTAATTTTAAAGCACAGTGGCTAGAAAACCCCAAAGATGACAACATCATTGTCAGCAGAGTCTTATCACCTATGGAAGGTGTCATTAATGCTGAGAGAACCCCTATGACTCTGCAAATCACCATGCACTGTGTCAAAGGATCATCCCCGTACTTACTTGGAGTAAGACCCAGTGTCCTTCCTTGGAAGCTTTCTCCAGGGCCATTTCTGCCACTGTCTCCTGACCTTGTCCTAAAGATACATTGTGGAATTTTCCTGAGTCAATTGTAAACCCAAGTTTTTTGCCTGCAGGACAATACAAAATGGTGAGAGGGCAATTGAGTCAAGGAGAGGTAAGAAGTGTGGACTTTTGTGGTCCAGTGTCCACCTGTGGTTACTGCTGCAACCTTCTGGTCACTGAAGAATCCAAACTAAACCTCTGTCATTTCAAGAAACAGCATTTGGAGCTCCCAACAGCTCCCTCCTCACAAGCATTATCAAAGATGTGGAAACAAGCTCCTCTGGTTTTATGGTAATGAAGCTTTTGACATTTTGATAGATGGCAAGCATTGTTACTGAGCTTTATAAACTCTTGCAAGACTAGCAAAGCATTTCCTTCATAAAAAGGAGCAACATGTGGTAGATATCACATCATTTTTGGAACAGATCGGCTCATTGGCTAAATGCAGGAGCCTCTCACCTTGTGAGGCCTTGCTTGAATCCAGCCCACAGGTCACAGCTCTATTAACCTGGTATTCTCTGTGCAGGCCGCAGGGAATAGTAATCGCAAGCACAAAGCGACAGTGCCTTGCCCAATCAAACAGACTTGCTCTAATAACCATTATTTAGTCACAGGGGGCACAAGATTACACGAGTATGGAGAAAATTGCCCTCTGGCCCTCATATAGTCAAAAGGTAGAAAACAGTACAAAAGAAACTCACATTATGCCAACCAGAGCAATGTTTCATTTGAACATTTCTGCAGACTACAGTGTTATTAGCCTTACATTTTCCATACATTCCATTTCCAACAAATGAAAAAAAAGAAGAAACTAAGATAACTAAGAGCTGAAAGGAAGGTCAGGTGGGTGTTGGGTGAAAGGGAGGGCAGGCCTCCTGACCACTCACCAAGGACCTCTAGGTCTTTCAGGGCATCTACCCCTGGAGACAGGATGAAGAATATTGGGGTGGCTGGGCTGCTTTCTTCAAACGCTTTAGCTAAATCCAATCTGGTCCTCTCCACATACTTTGCACCCAATTTTTCCTCCACAAAATTCCTATAAAAAGGAACAATGCAGAAGACATGATCAGTGCTTTTGACCTTGTAAAATGTCACAACTTGGATCAGCTTAAATCACAGGGCCAGGAAGGAACTGAACCACGTTTATTACATGGGATGTTTTGTGAGAATGGCAGCATGAATCTAACTAGATTTATGCAGGAGTGCCGGTGAAATCCCTCTGCTTTAGCAGCTCTGAAAATCAGAAGCCTACATCCCATTTTGGGGGCTACTGAGACCCCCCTCTGAGTACCATCAGCTGCCTGCATATGGCTTTGTATCCCCCCAGTCCCCTGCCAGATCCCCCATTACTTATGAACAGTTCATTAGATTTGCCACAGTGCAATTTTCCAGCCTGCTGGGCTTCTCATGAATATACAAATGCTTTTTGGGGTGTTTCTAACACAGGGAAGCTCAATTAAGCAGGGATTATTTTCCAGTAGCCTCAGATTTGCAGAAAGTAAGCACTACTAAGCAGAATTAACTTGTAAAGTAGGGTGTGGCTGGCAGAGGCTTCTGCAGAGAGAAAAATCAGTAGAACTAGACAAAGCAAAGCAAAAAACCAGAGGCATGTGAAGACTACTGAAAAAAGAGGAGCATGATGGGGAAGAAAGGTGAGAACTCTTCAGTTGGTAAATTCAAATTAGAACATAACTTGTGTGAATAAAGCAGAACGTGTCTACGTAGAAGCCAAAGGGGCAAAGAAAAAGGGCACATGGACCAAGATGTAGACAGGTGTTTCTGCTTTAAATGGCATTGGTTGTAAAGTTATAGGATTATTAGTATCTCTATGAAAGGAATTCATTTTTATTTGACATGCAAAATCTTTGAAGCCAGAATGCCACCCCTAAATATGGACAATGGAAATTACACTTGGATAATGCATGTTCCTGTCCTCTGAACTCTGCTGACATCCATCTCTCTCTTCCTAGAATATTCCCATCAGTTTCCTGTTTTCCCTACTGATTTCAGAAGTAAGCTTTTCAGGAAGGATGTGCTGAATCTGCCTATACACTAGCACACTGTCTAGTGTTTAGCAAATTTTAACAGTGGCAGTGATTACAATATCAAAATTCCAGCAGAATCACTTCTCATCAATATGGATCATAATTGGGCTTCCAAACCTCCCCTAGATTCTCCTAGCCCTGAAGACTAAGTTTCCTCTAGGCTAACTTGCATTTCCAAAAATAGTAACTGTCCCACCAGAGAGCATATGTCATTCTGTCAGGGCGCACTGCTCTCAAAATAATCAGCTTCTGTATTAAACTTTTCTTCTTCCATTCTTGTGGTAACTTCTCTTTTTCTGGACACTCAGATTCTGCCCACTTTCTCCACTGTTTGGCAGATCCTTCCACATCTCGGTCTATGCCTCGGAATTCTTCCATAAGGGCTATTGCCTGTAATACAATAGGGGAACAGGTAGGAAAGGGTTGTTCAATAGCTTAGAATTGGAGATAGAGACTTGTGAATATATTGAACTTATTTAAACAAGCTGTACTGTACAATCTTCATTTCCTCTCTGGATTTACTCTGCACCCTTTTCTGCCTTGATAGGATGGTGATCTCTAAGGATTAGTTGAACTAAGCTCCCTGATTCTCTGGCCTGATTGGGTTTGGCCAATAGGAGGCAATGGCAAGAGAATGGAGGGCTGTAGAAGAGAGAGGCAGGGGTAGTTCTTCCCCAGCTCTTTCCCTGTGGTGACGTAGTTTGGCAGTCACCATTTTCCTCTACCAAATGCCACAGCTCCTATAGGCTGGCTCTCTTTCTAACTTCATTTTCAGTAGTTTCAGTGACCACTCCTTTTCCTCCTTTTTCCATCCTCATACCTGGTTGCTTCCTTTATCCTTCTTTCCACGCTATGAAAATACACTCTTCATTAAAATTTTTTTATCATCCCTTTGAATGTGTTATCTGTCTTCTGCTGAGACCCTGATTCGTCAACAGTGGAACTTGAATTTATAATTCTAAAATAATCTGATTTAAAATTCTACTAAAAGTAAATCTAAACATGCTACAAAAATAAGAGATAATGATTATTTTCCATGAATATAACTGTTTTCTTATTAGAAAAAAAGGGCAAGACAAAGGTTAGCATATGATGAACATCTTTAAGGAATTTAAGTCTGGATGAATATTTCAAAGGTCTCAGATGACAACAGACCAAATTATTAAACAGAAGGTAGAACTAGTATTATAAGTTAGTCCTGGTATGGAAATTACATCCAATGAGCTACAAGATGCATGAAAGATTTTTCTTATGTGTGAGATTACATAGAGAAAAACTGGAAATTATTGTTTTATAGGTACAATTAAACAAACATCATGAATTGTAACTTTAGACATCTTGATTACAAAATTGGTAATAAATTCTTAACAACAGGGTCTTCTGGCACAAAAATAGGATAAGGATTGATAACTGGGGTTGAAGATGACTTATCACTTTTTTCTGTATAAACTGTTCTGCTTAACCCTTTTATAATGAGAAAAACCTACTATATTGATGTATAATTAACAAAACTCTTTGGAAAAACTAGAGAAATATTATAAAAAAGAAAAAATAAAGAAACTAGATTCAGGTAAATTGAAAAAATACTCATTTATATACTTTGACTTTACCAAAGGTTCTGCAGATGATACATATTTATTAACCTTTCCACCCATAAATAAAAAGTTCCTTTACTTCCAGATAAGAAATTAATCAACTTAGTAATATGAAGATTAAAGAACATTGCATTTTATAGCATATACCTGTAACTGAAATGATGTGTATCACCTGTATTTTTTAAGCTACACTTCTACATTTGAGAGAACTGAGATTTGAAATATGATTTAGACATTGAAAAACCATGTGGCTAATACCTTTATGGCACTCCACGACTGAGTTGTTAGGAAGTCGACAGGACTCAGGTGAGTGTGTTCAACTGTGAATCGAAGCAGGAAATCCAATTCAAGAGTGTCTATCTCTTTCTTTCTCAACAAAATCTTGAGCATGCACAAAATTGAAAAGGGTCGTTGGGTTTACGTTAAAATCATGAAAACAGGAGGCAGTCACCGTTTAATTGATACATTGAATAGGCAGAACCAAGTCAGCTGATATGTACAGACATATATCTGATACTATAGGTGAAATAAGAACTCTTACATGATGCCCATGAGCTCCAAATCTTAATTGGAAATCTTTGGCAAATAATTACAAGGCTAGTTTATTCCCATTTTAACATCTCTATTTATTAGCAACATATTTGAAATACACTTTCATATTTAGTTTTCTGCCGTTAGATCAAACTTGACTTAAAACTTGCCTTAAAACTTTCTCAGTACAAATTGAGAAAGCCTCAGTAGGCAATGGACTGAATTGGTCAAGAAGGTAGAGCTAGTATTATAAGTTATTCCTGGTATAGAAATTACACCCGACAAACTATAAGATGTATGAAATATTTTCTTATATGTGAGATTATATTGAGGAAAACTGGAAATTATTGTTTCATAGATACAACTAAATGAACACCATGAACAAATTTTAGAAATTCTGACTACAGAATTGATAAGAAGTCTATAGAACATTTTTAGGGGCACAAATGAAATACTCCTGATTTCTACATAAAAACTGTAACACCTTACAAAGTTAAACAGGTAAAATGTTTGGGTTTTATACTATTTTAAAATTCTAGGTACTTTCAGAATGCATTATGGATGGCAACATGCATTAGAGTAATATTTTATTTAATTAGATATTAACTTTTTAATTCAATTTATTTAAACAAAAAACTTTCCACATATATATGAATCTTTGATTTACAGAGACTACAGTATTTGTGATAAATTATAATTTATCTACTGCTTCCAAGGGAAGTTTTAAATAGACGTGCCAGCATGTGTGAGATGGCATATGGACTACCTTCCCGGCCCTTTACTGTTAAATAAGCAATATGTATAAAAACAAAAATTTCATTTTGTAATACGTTGTTCCTGTTTATCACATACATTATAAAATATCTACACTCATGTGTTCTTTTATGTAATCCCACAGAATCTAGAAATACCAAAATATTGAAAGAGAAGTGATAGTTTATCACTGTTAACAGCAGGTATGTATAAAATGTGCCTTCTTTGAGTAAAGCATTTTGGAGAACATAACTTAGATCACTTATCCACTTTTCACCAAGATTTGGATAGAAAAAGGTTATACAGCAAACTAATCAAAGGACAATATGCTTATTATTTCATGTAGGCATGAGGTCCTCAATGTTTCCTTTGCATTGGTTGTAAAGTTATAGGATTATTAGTATCTCTATGAAAGGAATTCATTTTTATTTGACATGCAAAATCTTTGAAGCCAGAATGCCACCCCTAAATATGGACAATGGAAATTACACTTGGATAATGCATGTTCCTGTCCTCTGAACTGTGCTGACATCCATCTCTCTCTTCCTAGAATATTCCCATCAGTTTCCTGTTTTCCCTACTGATTTCAGAAGTAAGCTTTTCAGGAAGGATGTGCTGAATCTGCCTATACACTAGCACACTGTCTAGTGTTTAGCAAATTTTAACAGTGGCAGTGATTACAATATCAAAATTCCAGCAGAATCACTTCTCATCAATATGGATCATAATTGGGCTTCCAAACCTCCCCTAGATTCTCCTAGCCCTGAAGACTAAGTTTCCTCTAGGCTAACTTGCATTTCCAAAAATAGTAACTGTCCCACCAGAGAGCATATGTCATTCTGTCAGGGCGCACTGCTCTCAAAATAATCAGCTTCTGTATTAAACTTTTCTTCTTCCATTCTTGTGGTAACTTCTCTTTTTCTGGACACTCAGATTCTGCCCACTTTCTCCACTGTTTGGCAGATCCTTCCACATCTCGGTCTATGCCTCGGAATTCTTCCATAAGGGCTATTGCCTGTAATACAATAGGGGAACAGGTAGGAAAGGGTTGTTCAATAGCTTAGAATTGGAGATAGAGACTTGTGAATATATTGAACTTATTTAAACAAGCTGTACTGTACAATCTTCATTTCCTCTCTGGATTTACTCTGCACCCTTTTCTGCCTTGATAGGATGGTGATCTCTAAGGATTAGTTGAACTAAGCTCCCTGATTCTCTGGCCTGATTGGGTTTGGCCAATAGGAGGCAATGGCAAGAGAATGGAGGGCTGTAGAAGAGAGAGGCAGGGGTAGTTCTTCCCCAGCTCTTTCCCTGTGGTGACGTAGTTTGGCAGTCACCATTTTCCTCTACCAAATGCCACAGCTCTTATAGGCTGGCTCTCTTTCTAACTTCATTTTCAGTAGTTTCAGTGACCACTCCTTTTCCTCCTTTTTCCATCCTCATACCTGGTTGCTTCCTTTATCCTTCTTTCCACGCTATGAAAATACACTCTTCATTAAAATTTTTTTATCATCCCTTTGAATGTGTTATCTGTCTTCTGCTGAGACCCTGATTCGTAAACAGTGGAACTTGAATTTATAATTCTAAAATAATCTGATTTAAAATTCTACTAAAAGTAAATCTAAACATGCTACAAAAATAAGAGATAATGATTATTTTCCATGAATATAACTGTTTTCTTATTAGAAAAAAAGGGCAAGACAAAGGTTAGCATATGATGAACATCTTTAAGGAATTCAAGTCTGGATGAATATTTCAAAGGTCTCAGATGACAACAGACCAAATTATTAAACAGAAGGTAGAACTAGTATTATAAGTTAGTCCTGGTATGGAAATTACATCCAATGAGCTACAAGATGCATGAAAGATTTTTCTTATGTGTGAGATTACATAGAGAAAAACTGGAAATTATTGTTTTATAGGTACAATTAAACAAACATCATGAATTGTAACTTTAGACATCTTGATTACAAAATTGGTAATAAATTCTTAACAACAGGGTCTTCTGGCACAAAAATAGGATAAGGATTGATAACTGGGGTTGAAGATGACTTACCACTTTTTTCTGTATAAACTGTTCTGCTTAACCCTTTTATAATGAGAAAAACCTACTATATTGATGTATAATTAACAAAACTCTTTGGAAAAACTAGAGAAATATTATAAAAAAGAAAAAATAAAGAAACTAGATTCAGGTAAATTGAAAAAATACTCATTTATATACTTTGACTTTACCAAAGGTTCTGCAGATGATACATATTTATTAACCTTTCCACCCATAAATAAAAAGTTCCTTTACTTCCAGATAAGAAATTAATCAACTTAGTAATATGAAGATTAAAGAACATTGCATTTTATAGCATATATCTGTAACTGAAATGATGTGTATCACCTGTATTTTTTAAGCTACACTTCTACATTTGAGAGAACTGAGATTTGAAATATGATTTAGACATTGAAAAACCATGTGGCTAATACCTTTATGGCACTCCACGACTGAGTTGTTAGGAAGTCGACAGGACTCAGGTGAGTGTGTTCAACTGTGAATCGAAGCAGGAAATCCAATTCAAGAGGGTCTATCTCTTTCTTTCTCAACAAAATCTTGAGCATGCACAAAATTGAAAAGGGTCGTTGGGTTTACGTTAAAATCATGAAAACAGGAGGCAGTCACCGTTTAATTGATACATTGAATAGGCAGAACCAAGTCAGCTGATATGTACAGACATATATCTGATACTATAGGTGAAATAAGAACTCTTACATGATGCCCATGAGCTCCAAATCTTAATTGGAAATCTTTGGCAAATAATTACAAGGCTAGTTTATTCCCATTTTAACATCTCTATTTATTAGCAACATATTTGAAATACACTTTCATATTTAGTTTTCTGCCGTTAGATCAAACTTGACTTAAAACTTGCCTTAAAACTTTCTCAGTACAAATTGAGAAAGCCTCAGTAGGCAATGGACTGAATTGGTCAAGAAGGTAGAGCTAGTATTATAAGTTATTCCTGGTATAGAAATTACACCCGACAAACTATAAGATGTATGAAATATTTTCTTATATGTGAGATTATATTGAGGAAAACTGGAAATTATTGTTTCATAGATACAACTAAATGAACAAATTTTAGAAATTCTGACTACAGAATTGATAAGAAGTCTATAGAACATTTTTAGGGGCACAAATGAAATACTCCTGATTTCTACATAAAAACTGTAACACCTTACAAAGTTAAACAGGTAAAATGTTTGGGTTTTATACTATTTTAAAATTCTAGGTACTTTCAGAATGCATTATGGATGGCAACATGCATTAGAGTAATATTTTATTTAATTAGATATTAACTTTTTAATTCAATTTATTTAAACAAATAACTTTCCACATATATATGAATCTTTGATTTACAGAGACTACAGTATTTGAGATAAATTATAATTTATCTACTGCTTCCAAGGGAAGTTTTAAATAGACGTGCCAGCATGTGTGAGATGGCATATGGACTACCTTCCCGGCCCTTTACTGTTAAATAAGCAATATGTATAAAAACAAAAATTTCATTTTGTAATACGTTGTTCCTGTTTATCACATACATTATAAAATATCTACACTCATGTGTTCTTTTATGTAATCCCACAGAATCTAGAAATACCAAAATATTGAAAGAGAAGTGATAGTTTATCACTGTTAACAGCAGGTATGTATAAAATGTGCCTTCTTTGAGTAAAGCATTTTGGAGAACATAACTTAGATCACTTATCCACGTTTCACCAAGATTTGGATAGAAAAAGGTTATACAGCAAACTAATCAAAGGACAATATGCTTATTATTTCATGTAGGCATGAGGTCCTCAATGTTTCCTTCTTATTAGACACCTTAATTAAAAAAAAAGGAAAAAAACTTTTGCAGGAGTCCATATAAATCAGAATTAAAGGGAAGTAGGTCTCACTGTAGGTCGTAGTGTGATACTGTACCTCTTTTTACCCATTCACTGTTTTTTAAAGGGTATCTGAGAAAGTCCTAGGACCACTCAGATCTGGATTTGTAACTCTGATCTCTAAGAACCTCCCTGGTAGTATGGAAGGCTGGGTACAGGACCTGAGACAGAGAGGAGAATGTCTCACCCACCTGCTTTTCAGTGACAGGTGATATGGCTGCTTAAAGTGCATACCCACCCAGGTCCATGCACGGGTGGCCTACTAGAAGGTGGTTATGTGCCCAAGTTCCCTCTGGGAAACTCAAACTCTCCTCATGTCATCAAGGGCTTCCAGAAAAGGGGTCTATCTATGCCTCCCTTCAGCAGCAGTAAAGTACATAATAAACAGAGGTGTGGGACTTTGGTTCTGGGGATATGTTCAAAAGATAGCTCCTCACCTGAAAGGCCATCTGGGACAGGAAGGTGAGCTTGTCCTTCTCAAACAGTGCCTGGCTGGTGTAGAGAAATATGGCGTGCGTGATGCTCTCCATCAGAACGGAGATGCGCCCCTGCATGTCCTCCACCTTGTCAGCCTGATCGATTGCTCTGTGGAACAGCATGTTGAAGGCCTGGGGAATTTAAAATAACTGTTAAAGGCTGAAAACTGGTGCCTGGATGTCTAGTTAGCCCCAGACACACAGGGGCACACTTTAAGGTTTATCTATGGGGAGAGAGAACAGGACGGAATTTTTATGAGGCTAATATGAGCTCTTAGAACAGTTACTGGCATGTGGTGAGTGCTCATAAATGTTTGCTGCCATTACTATTATTAACATCTTCCACAAAATCTACTCATGTCTCCTCCCTAGCCAACTGAAATGCACCATCCTCTCTCCTTCTACCCATGTACATTAAAATTTTTTTTAATTGTGGTAAAATAGAAAAAACCCAAATTTACTATCTCAATATTTTTAAGTGTATTGTTTGGTTGTATTAAGTAGATCCACATGGTTGTACAATCTCCAGAATTTTTCACGTTGCAAAACTGAAACATTGTTAAACAACAACTCACTAAAAAAATAGTTAAACAACAACTGGACATTACCCCTTTCTCCCAGCCCCTGGCAATCACCACTCTACTTTCTGTTTCTATGAGTCTGACTACTCTAGATACCTCACACACTATAGTTGGAGAGGGTTTGTCTTACTGTGACTGGCTTGTTTCATGTAGCATAATGTCCTTCATTCATGTTGTAACACACGTCAGAATTTCCTTCCTATTGTGACTGGCTTGTTTCATGTAGCATAATGTCGGTTCATTCGTGTTGTAACACATGTCAGAATTTCCTTCCTTTTTAAGACTAAATAATATTCCAGACATACCACATTTTGATTATCTGTTCATCCACTGATGGACATCTGAATTGCTTCCACCTTTTGTCTGTTGTGACTAATGATGCTATGGACATGGTGTACAAAAGTCTCTTTGAAACCATCTTTCAATTCTGTTGTGTATATACCCAGAAGTGTGATTGCTGAATCATATGACAGGTCTATTGTTATTTTTTGAGGAACTGTCATGTTGTTTTCTATAGTAGCTGCATCATTTTACAATCCCACCAACAGCGCACAATTTCCAATTTCTCTACATCCTTGTCAACATGTATTTTCTTTTTTTTGCGGTATTTTTTTGAAATAGCAATGGTCCTAATAGGTGTGAAATGGTATCTCATTGTGGTTTTGATTTGCATTTTCCTAAGGATTAATGATGTTCACCATCTTTTGATATGCTTCTTGGTTGTCTGTATATCTTCTTTGGAGGAATATCTGTTCAAGTCCTTTGTCCATTTCTTAAGAGATTATTTGGTGTTGGTGGTGGTTCCGCCCATGTGCTTTTGGGGGACCCTTTAATTATCTCTTTTTGCTTTAAAAATCACTATTAATATTTCATGCCTTGGTAATAACTGGGCAGTGTAGATATTTATACATGTATCTGCATCTATAAATAGATATAAATTACATATATACATACATGTATTCTTTTTACTGGTGGAAAGTGACCAGAGACCACATCAGTTTGCCTTGAATTATGTATATTTGAGTGAAAGTAAAACCATACAATAGTTACATAGAGTAAATATTGGTAAGAAGGTATTAAAAAAGTCCTCATTTGATATTTAAATTTTAAAACCAACTTTCAGTTTGCATACAATAAAATAAACCCTTTAAGGGATAGTTCAGTGAGTTCTGACAACTGTATATACTTCAGCATAGAATGTTTCTATTCACATCATCCCATGAAGCCTTCATGTGTCTCTTGGCAGTCAGTTCTCACCACAAGCCCCAGCCCATTACTGAATTCTCTCTGTCACCGCTTAGATTCATTGCAGGATTTTATAGTATGTACTTGGTGCTTTGCTGCTGCTTCTCAACATGGTGTCTCTGTGATATATTCGCGTTGTATCTTTAATTTATACCTTTATATTGTAAGGCCCACTCCATGGATATATTGAATTTGCATATTCATTCACTTCTTAGTTCTCTGAGTGGTTTCCAAATATTGGCCATTATGAATAAGAGGTATCTACGAATTTATGAACAAGTTTTTGTGTGGACATTTTTATGTTTTAATTTCCCTTGGGTAAATACCTAGCATGAAAATGGGGATCATTTTGTAAGTATATGTTTAACTTTATAAGGAGCTATTAAACTGTTTTCCAAAATGGTTTTACCATTTTTGCATTCTCACCAGCAACATGAGAATGTTGCAGGACCATATCTGTGCTAACACTTGTTACTGATGGTCTTGTAAAACTTAAGCCATTCTACTGAGTATGTAGTAATATCTCATTCTGCTTTTACTTTACTTTTCTCTGGTGACTGTTGAGTATTTTTAAAATGTGCTTATTGGGCACTACAGATGTCTTATTATATGGCATGTCTGTTCAAACTTTTCATGTATTTTTTAATTGGGTGTCTTATTGAGTTGCACAAGTTCTTTATATATTGATTTAAACTCTTTGTTAGATAGATACATGTATTAGAAATAGTTTTTATTATCCTATGGCTTATCTTTTCATTTTCTTAACAATGTCTTTTGAAGACCACAATTTTCTAAATTTGATAAGGTTCAATTTATCAAGTTTTATCTAACCCAAAGTCCATAGATTTCCATTTTTCCTAGAAATTTTATAGGTGAGCTTATTCATCTTGAATTAATTTTATATGATGGTTGAGGTTCATTTTATTCCATGTGGCTATCTGGTTGTCCCAGCACCATGTGTTTTAAAAATCATTTTCTCACTGAATTATCTTGGCATCACTGCTAAAAATCAGTTGGCCAATCATTGTATGTCTATTTCTGGACTCTATTCTGTTCTGCTGATCTGTGTGTTTTCTTTAGGACCAACTGATGTAGATTTATAGTAAGTCTTGAAGTCATGCACTGTAAATATTCCAAAGTTGTTGTTCTTTTCCAAAATTATTTAGTTATCTTAAATCCTTTGCATTTCTACACAAATTTTACAATTAGCTTTCCAATTTCTACAAAAAAGCCTTCTGGTATTTTGATTGAGACTAAATTTAATTTATAGATCAATGTGGAGAGAATGGACATCTTAATAATATTGCTTCAAACCATAAACATGGTATCTCTCTCCTTTTACCTAGTCCTTCTTCAATTCTCTCAACAATTTTTATAGCTTTTGGTATGTAGATCTTGTATTTGTTTTGTTACAATTACCCCTAAGAGTTTCATGGTTTTAGAAGCTATTGTAAATGGTATTGTTTTAATTTTATTTATAGTTTTTCTCCCTATATATAAAAATATAATGGTTTTTGTATATTGACTTTATATCCTACATTCTTGCACTTACTTCTTAGTCCCAGTAACTTTTTTGTAGATTTCTTATAATTTTTCTACATCCATGATCAAGACATCTGTGGAACAAAGACAGTTTTTCTGCATTTGAAACCTCTGTGCCTTGTATTGTATTATTGCGTTAGCTATAACCTTGAGTGCAGGGTTGAATAGAAGTGTTGAGAGAAAGCATCCTTGTCTTGTTCCTGATCTTAAGGGAAAGCATTAAACTTTTCAACGTTGAGTATAATGTTAGCTGTCAATTTCTGCAGATGCCCTCCATCCCACTGAGAAGTTAACATCTATTCCTAATTTGCTCAGAGTTTTTTTAACAAGATGTTTAAATGTGTCAAGTTCTTCCTCTATGTCCTATGGTTTTTCTCTTTTGTTCTATTAATATGAAGAATTAAATTGTGTAATTTTTGAATGTTTAACCAACTTGTATTCCCGGTGTAAATTTTACTTGGGATCTAGTACATCATGCTTTTTACATGTGGTTGGATTCAATTTGCAATCTCTTTATGTGTGGTTTTGCAACCCAATGTCTTGAGGTGGGCTTCTTGGTAGCGTTCTTTTCTTGTAATGCCTTAGAGTAGTTTAGGTATCTTGGTAATACTGGACTGACACTACTGGTTTTGTTTTATATTCTCCTAGTATGCTGTGGCTGTCCCAAAACCCAGTCACACTGCACTTTTCAGAATTTTTACACACTTGTCCCAGACTGATAGAAACCTGCTAGTTATTCTTGACTCTTTTCCTTTATCCATCTCCAGTAGGTGATTATTCTGTTTTCAGATCATATCAGAAGTCTGTTCACTTCCATCTGAATCTCTTGTCATCGTATTGGTCAACTGCTTAAAACCTTTCAATGGCTTCCTTTTGCCCACAGACCATAATCTGAAATCCCCAGCATTGCCCATCTAGACCTCCCACCTTTCTATACATGTGTCTTGCTGTCTCCCCCCACAACCACATCGATTTATTCACTATCTAGAATCCCAAACTTTTTCATGCCTCACACATCCTTGTTTTCTCCAAACACTCGTTACATGGCTCAATCCTATTTATCCTTTGGGAATCAGCTATCAGGTCACCATCTGAGAGCCTTACCTGAGTCTCCAGGAAAACAGCTCCTCCACTGCTATAATTCTCTGTCATTGTATTTATCACTTTTACACACACACACACACACACACACACACACACACACACACACAATATATATATCTTCACTCTCATAATTGTTTTTCAAAACTATATACTCAGTGACCACAGAGTATTTGGCACAAAGATTGATATCAATAACTATTTGTTTAAAAACTGACAGGATGAGTGAATAAACATTGCCCACAGGCAGAAAGGTGAAAAGTAAAGAGCATGTGCTTTGGAATCAAGCAGTCACAGATTCAAATCCTGGTTCTTACACTTATGAAATGTGAATTCCTGAGTAATTTATTTAAAAATCAGAAAATATTAGTTTTTTTAAAAAATAGGGATAAAATAATATACCTTATTGAGATGTTTCAGACATAAGAATGAAACAAAGTATGAAAATGATTTGCATGTAATAGTAGCTTAATAAACAGTTGTTCTTTTTCTTCCTCTACTCCAATATGGGAAATCTCTTTATAAGACACTTAAATTTTCACAAAGAAAGTAAGAGAAAATTCTCTTACATATAATAAACTCATTAAGACTCTGTTTAAGAACAAAAATATATGTGTTATGATGTTACATAGTTTATATCAAAGCCTTATTGAAAATTACATATGAGAGTTACTGAGAGAATGAGGAGGTTTTGGTTGTTTTTTTTAGATCTTCATGACTCCTTACTGGGTGCACTGATTGCTTAAAAATAAACTCTAGACTTCCAGGAGCAAATCTGACTCAAGAAGTTAAAATTTCTTCTTACCCTATTCAGTATTACCTTCAAAGAGAATTGATAGATGGGGTTGATTTTTCTGAGGTCATTAATAACAAAATAAAGAAGAGATGCTCTTGCTGCCACTGGTCTGTAACATTCTCGAGCCTCATTGATTTTTCTTTCATTTTCTTTAGCTTCAATTACCTATGGTGAGATCAAACAATATAAATAAGTTACTCTTCATAATCTCTATTCTTATCCAAATGATAAAAGGGACATACCTGAAATGAGAAATTATTAGTATAAAAACAGATAACATGTATGGCATCTACGTGCTTGAGCTTTACAAAAGTTATTTAATTTATATTTTTAAATAGTTTTTTTCATAAACTGAGTTTTCAGTGACAATGGACATAGCTCTAGTTGTTTTATGGTTAAAGAATAAGCAAACATGTTTTTGGTTTTACAGAATTTGTTCTGAGTAATGTCACCTTCCTGACTCCCCTCTCTCTTTCAGGGGTTAATAACCCAGCTATATCACCTCCCAGGGATAGCTCTTAAAGTCTGCTGGGTCAGTTCAATGCCAATAACTTTATTAGTCAACAAGGTATACAAAATAAACCAAGGTCAATAATACATCCAACAGCCATGCTTAATAAAAAGCTGTTATATGATGACTCTCATGACTGTCTAATTCTGACTTTGCACCAGATCATCCATATGCTCATATATTTCCATTTAGTTTATCTTTATATATTAGCCTCTGGGTATGGTCAGAGAGAGAATTAAGAAAAAAAAACCTCCATCAACCAACATACTCATTTTTATTCAAGGCTCATATATCTGTTTCTTTTATCTAGGACTACTGCCGGTCCTATAGCTTTATAAGATGTGGTGTTTTTTACAACCATTTTAATACACTTGATTCATCATATTGGTGTATAAAAAGAAATAAAGAAATGTAAGAAGAGAGGGAAGTCCCTACATGGTGATACATTAAGAAGATAGGAAGAGACTTTTTAAGAGACAATTAGAAGTTAACTTCAAAGCTAAGACCTAATTTACTTAATTGCTCTAATCTTTACCATCTTAGAAGCCACCTAGAATTCACTTACTTAAAAGGATAGAGTAATTCGGGATTCCATTTCCTTGCCTAAATTAAGACAAATATATTGGATGTGTGGTGACACAGCCTTGGCTGGGTAATTAATAGATTACTTAGTAATGAGAATATCCCAAAGCAAAGAAAGGTTCCTTTCATTTTGAAGAAATGGAATCTTGAGGGTTAATGATCACTTGTAAAAGTCCAAAGTGCACACCAAGCATAGGCCATACTGTTGTATGTTCAGCAGGATGTTTACTCGATGAAAATTTTTACTGGCTTTTAGGAAATGTCATTTTCCAGGGTGAATAATGCATTTGAGTACAGCAGGAGACCATCTTTTGCTCAGTATCCCACCACTGAAGGACTGTAAACACAACTTCAGCTCTAAGTATTTCTCTAAATATACAACAGACTAAGAAACCTGTGGTGAGACTGTAGGATGTCAGTTTGTCAGGGCTGGATACTAAGCGTTTTTAGATTTCAGACTATATAAATCAGCAGGCCCCAATTTTCTTCGAATTTGGTCACTCAGAAAAAAATACTAGCCTGACACAGTCTGCTTTGAACAACTGGATCTCGTTGAATTAGGGGAAGCACAAGTTCAAACTATCTTCATTAGAACCCCACACAGTCCAGTTTTTAAAGGTCAGTTTATTAAAGGACCTGAATTACACAAGTCCACTTAGAGGAATCACAAAGTTTGTTTATACATTCACTCCAGCCACTCCATTCAAAGGGCGCATCCAGACCCTCAGGTGTCCTTGGCCTCGCCCTACCTTGCGCTCTATCTCTGCTGCCGTTGCCTTTGTCATCTCCAGTCTCTCTACCAGTTTGGTGTCATCCAGAAAGCTCCCTTCTGCCGCAGAAAGGAGCAGAAGGAGGTCATCCTCCAAATACTTCAGCTCTATCTTAAAGTCATTTTGGTGCTTTGTCAAGACCAGCTAACACAAACCAAGAAAAGTATGAAAATGGTGGTTAAATTACCAGTTTCTTAATCATCAATTTCATGGAATCCTATATAAGAAAACACAGCATAAAAACCATACTCATCATGATTTTTAAAAATTCAGAAAGCATGTTAAGATCTGGTTACACTCCAGGGTCTAGAGTGTGAACATTTGTCATAATAATTTAACATCATGAACCTATAGGAAGAATCTATTCCATAGGAAGAAATTCTAGTTTCTGCTTGGCTAAAGAATTGGAAGTCATTTCCATCCTCACAACAGGAAAAAAATCAAATCAACTCTTTTAACAGCCACCAGAGAGAACCCAGGTAACCGGGCAAACTGCTACTCCAAAAACTGGAGAGATGAGTGAACACAGATAATCGCAACTTATGGAGAACATGTAAATAATACTGGGCTAATTGCTGGAGGCGGTCTTAGGGGGCTCTTTATACTTTTGTGAACTTACCTCTAGGAGACTCACCAGGTTCTCATAGTGAAGGTAAAAAAAATCTACTCCTGCTTAGGGTAGGGAAAAGGGAAAAGCAACCATTTTGAAATAAGTCCAGGGGAAAAAGCATTTAAAATATGTCAAGACCTTTCAGTTCTCTTAATAAACACCTGTTTTCTAGAGTAATTACTTTATCAGAGCCTTACCTGACCTAGAGGGAAGAGTGACTACACAACTAAGCCTGCTGTAGACTTCCTTTCTCACATAGGAGAGATAAAAATAAATGGTAACAAACTCTCCTGAAGGTTGAAGGCCATTGACAGGCCAACTAGAAAACCCTGAGATTTAATCATAAGATCATAGAAGGCTTCCCATCTACAATACCTCACCACCATATCAACAGACTCTAGCATGACAGTGGATTGAAAGTGAGAGAGCTTCAAGATACAGACCCTGTTTAAGAAGGACCTTCTAGGAGATCCAAAGACACAGGAGACAAAAACAAGGACGTTAGAGGAAATTGAAGCCTATGACACCAACAGCTACTGTCAACATTAAACACAGCCTAACTCCTGGCCATAGAAACATAAAACCTCACACTAAAGCTCTAATTACCTCAGTTCAAATTATCTAAAACATGGCATTTAACAAAAAAGTACTAGGAATGCTAAGAGGCAAGAATCATGGTCTGAAGAGATAAAGCAAATCTCAGAAGACTCAAGTAAGGAAGATATTTTGGAATTATCAGACTGTGAAATTAAAAATAACTATGATTTATATGCTAAGGGCACTAACAGAAAAAGTACAACATGCAAGACCACATAGGTAATTTAAGTAGAAAGACGGAAACTCTAAGAAAGACTCAGAAGGAAATGCTAGAAGTGAAAAACACTAACAGAAATGAAGAATGCCTCTGATGGGCTCACACAGTCAAAGGAAGGACACAGTCAAGGGAAGAATCACTGAACTTGAAGATATGTCAATAGAAACTTTTCAAACTGAAAAGAAAAGAGAAAAAGAATGCAAAAAAAAAGGAAAAGAATATCCAAGAACTGTGAGACAAATTACAAAAAGTAGAACAAACACATAATGGGAATTCTTGAGAAAAAGAACTATTGGACATAAGAATTTTTCAAAATGAGTGACATTCACCAAATCACAGATCCAAGGGACTCACAGCATACTAAGCAGAATAAATAAAAACTCTACACCTAGGCATATCACATTCAAATTGAAGGAACCAAGGAAAAAGAAAAAAATCTTGAAAGAAACCACAGGAAACAAAAACACCTCACCTGTAGAGGAAAAAGGGTAAGAATTACATGGAACTTCTCTTCAGAAACAATGCAAGAAAGTATTTAAAATATTGAATGAAAAACCCATCACTTTAGAATTCTGTATCCTGCCATATTATCCTTCAAATGTGGAGAAAAAGACTTTTTTCAGACAAACATAAAATGAGGGATTTTGTCACTAACAGATCTATCTTATAAGAAGTACTAAAAAAATAAGGACAGAGAAGGAAAACAATACAGGTCAGAAACTAGGGTCTATATAAGGGAAGAAAGTCAGAGAAGGAATAAATGAAAGTAAAATACTTTATTTTCTTACTCTTGAGATAACTGTTCAAAATAATACACATAACAATGTACTGTAACTATGGATAAATGAAATTAATGACAATTTTATAAGGGATGGGAGGGAGGAAATGAGAATACTCTGTTAAAAGGTACTTGCACTACTCATGAGGCAGTATAGTGTTATTGGAAAGCAGACAGATTAGTTGTAAATGTATATAGCAAATGCTAAGGAAACCACTAAAATAAAAAAACATGTAATTTATATGCTAAGAGACCACAGGTACCGGAATCATATAAAATGCTCAGTTAAAACCAGAGAAGGCAGAAATAAAACAAAAGACAAAAAAGGCACTGGGTGTGGGGGAGGAACAAGTACAGTACATAAAACAATGACAAACATGGGAGATATTAATCCAACTATGTCAGTAATCTCTTTGAATGTGAGCTGTCTGAACACATCAATTAAAAGACAGAGACCAATACAGTGGATAAAAAAGATACAGCTTTCCATTGTCTACAAGAAATCAACTTTAAATGTAATGACACAAATTAAAGGATTAAAGGTAGAGGGATGGAGAAAGAGATACCACGCTAACACTTATCAAAAGAAAGAGTAGCTATATTAATTTTAGACAAAGCAGACATCAGAAAAAGGAAAGATATTAGGAGAAAAAAGGAGCATTACGTAATGATGAAGAGGTCAATTATCCAAGAAAACATGACATTCTTTAATGTATCTAACAACAGAGTGTCAAAACACATGAGGCAGAAATTGACAGAACCACAAGAAGAAGACAAATCTATTATTATTTCTGGAAAATTCTAAACTCCTGTTTTCATAATAGAGCTAGCAAGCAGAAAGTCAGTTATGATATAGCTAAACCAAACAGCACCATCAATCAATTCAATGTAATTGACATTTATGGACTGCTTCATCTAATAACAGCAGAATACACATCTATTTTTTAAGCTCACTTAGAAAACTCACAAGATAGACCAAATTCTGGGCCATGAAACCTACCTGAAAAAGTTTTAAAGAATTGAAATACAGAGTATGCTCTCAGACCAAAATAGAATTAAATAAGGAATCAATAAAAGAAAGGTAGCTGGAAAAATCCCAAAATATTTGGATATTAAACCACACATATTTAGTAATACATGAGTCAAACAAAAAAGTATCAAGATAAATTAAAAATATTTTGAAATAAATAAAAATGAAAGTACAACTTAACAAAATTTGTGAGATGCAGCAAAAGCAGTGCTTAGAGTATCATTTATAGCATTGAATATCAGGAGCAGCAATCCTTCTCCATAAAGGGCCAGATAGGAAATATTTTTAGCTTTGCAGGCCATACAGCCTCTGCTACAACTCTTCAACTCCACACTTGCCTTCTTTCTACATGTTTAGGCTTGCGCCGTTTTCTTGTTTTCTGTATTCAACACTAAGTTCAATTATTTTCAGTATATTTTTCTTAATCAATGTACTTAAAGCTATACATCTTCCTTTAAATGCTGGTCATAACCAGCTTATAGCTTAATTTTTCCAACCTATTCCACTACTCCTTGTTTTCATTTTTTTGACCTGACTGAATTGGCCTCTTATCATCCAGCAAACCAGGGCATGTGCCTGCTCTCCACCTCTGCTTCCCACGACTGATACGACTCTTCGCTTGTCCTAGGCACCTGCATCAAACATGACCTAGAGCTAGTTAGTCCTTCTGCTGTGGGACAACCTTAGCTACCTCCTTTATTAGGAGTACACTCAAATTGTTAACTGCTCACATATGTCCTCATTTTTTCTCAGAGTGCAAGCTTCTGGAGGGCAGGACTTGTATCTTACACTATTATGTCTAGTACTATAATTTGTGCAAAGCAGGTACTGAATAAGTGTTCATGGGTGATTTCATAATTTTTACCTTAATTTTCTCCAAATCTGGCCTCTCAATACTGACCACCTCTGCCAGCAGCTGGGCTTCTAGACCATCTTCCGTGACGGTGAAATTGAGGAGGGTTGTTTGAGCTTGCAATTCTGGCCTGTAGTGAGGATTTGCCAGTTTTGTGTGAAGGATAAGGCGAAAGTTCTTGTTAAATTCACATTCTTTATCTCCAATCCTGATATACCTAAAGAGGCCATAATACAAACATTCAGGAGATTCCCATGAGCCATAATTGATATTAAGGTGCCATTTCATTCCTGTATTCTGATAATGTATCTAGGCCATAAGACCAGGTGATTCAGAAATTTTCAGCTACTCTTGGTTTTCCTAAAGCATAGGAAGAATACAAATTTATCTACTAAACCTCTATATGATTAAATTTCCTCATATGTAAAGTGATGACAATAGTGGTATTTACCTCATGGTATCACTATAATAAATACAGTAAATCATATGAAGGACCTATAATAACAATGTTAGCTTTTATTATTATACTTTCTGTGATTAACCTTATATTCAACATTGCTTTTCTTTAAGCAAAAATTATGTGTTTATGTATAGCTGTGTGTGTGTATATGTATATTTAAAATATATGTATATGTATGTTAGAAATACATATATACTTAAAATCTCTTTCCAATACTTTTGGCACTGACTCAAAAGCAAAGTTTAAGAAGTCTCCCATGTGGAATGCATGGGCAGAGTTCTTCCTAGCTCGATCTCGCACAGGGGTGTGCTTGCAACAACCAGGCCTGTTTTGTACCCCTGTTCCCCTACCCCCAGAAACAAGGAGTAGGCACTTTATCCAAGCTGTTCCAATCAGTCACCATTTCTGGGATTTGGAATTGGGACCAAGAGGAAAGGGAGCTGGAATAGTGACCTATAATCCAGTGTTGAAGTTACTCTGTCCTGATGAACCGAGCAGCAGAGAAATATATCTTTGTCTCCTAAGGAAGAATAATTAAACCTGTATTCAGACGGAAGAGGCTTATTAGACTTCCAAGTCCCATCTTCCTTGAAGGCTGGCTGCATTTCACCTCAGTTGCCATGACTCTGCAGCCTTGTAACACCATCTCTGTTCTGCTTAAGCTAAGTGGAAGTGGTTTCTGTAACTGCATGTGAAACTCAGAATGAATGCAGCCTCTCTCTGAGAGGAGGGCCTGATTTTTCTTTACTTCAGATGCTGGGGTCCAGCTTCTAAGGTCTTCATTACCTGGGCTGTGTTGCCCTTGGGGTCTAGATGGGCTTGGCCAGTGAAAGCACAGCAAGAGATGGCAGGAGAGAAATGCCGAGGCAGATCTTCCCTGCCTCAGCACCGTGGTCTGGAGGCTTTGTCCTTCTGTGGCTATATTCTGGGTTTGGGCTGGTCCCTTCTGCAGCTCCACTCACAGGACCCAGTAACCCCTTCAGGCCTAGAGATGGTAATGCTTCCAGCTGTTGCAAATCCTTGGTCGTATCAGCACCTCTACTGGGTTCTCTTTACCCTTCACTCTGAAAATTCTTTTTGTAGTCACTTTGTTAATTTTACTAAAAAATTCCAGCCTATTATGTGGTCTTTTCATTGCCAAGAATCTGCTGTATCTAGTAAAGAGGGGGCTTTAAAACTGAGGCATCAAACAAAACCCACAAATACTGGAATTTCCCAAACTCTTCGGTCAAAGTGGCCTGCACTGTGCAGGAGTGAAAATTCAGGTAAGAAGCCTGAAAGTGTGGCTGAGGCAGGGAGTGTCTTCTTAGTTCCCCTTTTTGTATGAAATACTGACAAACATTCTGGATTCCTCCCTATTCAGTGTATAAAGTATTTTAATGACAGAGGCACCATTATAATGGTGAGAGAATGTTATATCCAAAGCCCGTATGACTTCTAATTTAAATATAGTATTTTAAATAACTATGAGGAAAAAAGTTACTACTCATCTCTCTGACTTACAGGTGGGATGTTATTTCACTAAATTTATCAATTTTAGAAAACTGGATAAATTCAAAAGAAAGATACTATATAACAAGTTCAGCATTCAGGCAATGTTCCTTTTTAGTAAAATGTCACAATATTTGCAAAAAAATTTGTTGAACTTGAGGAGAGACACTCAGAATGCTGCAATGTGGCAATATTTTAGGTTGCTATCAGTGGATGATTCATGATTGTATCTTATTCTGAGATTTAATCTCTTGTGTTGTCATAAGAAAATGCCTCTCATCTGCTGGCCACTCTGGTTAAGGAAATTTTTATGAAACAAACTTTAGCATGTAAAGATTATAGAAGAAATAATAGTGTTCATAAATCATTAAAGCTTTAAATATTAAATTACTCAATCACTAAACTTTTGGTTACTATAGCTAAAAATCTCAAAAGATTGATTACATTCATGATCTACTGTCTTCAGTCAACTCTCAAATTTTGTTTCCACTGTAATGGTCTTATATTTGCAACAAAAACCTTCACAGTTTTTGATTAAGTGTCTAAGCTTGAAAGAGATCTGCAAAACAAGCCACTCGGGTGGACACTCTTTATTAAGCTGAATGGTAAATTCATTCACATTATTAAGTTGTGGGTTGTTTTTACTCTGTCAGGACTTCCTACTATTTAATCTTTCCAGAAAGAAAGAGTAATTCAGGTAGCAGCCCTCTTTAAAGCTTGTATAACATATACTTAATATATGTATGTACAATATATACTTCCCTTTTTAAAGCAAACAAACTGAATATTCACATCACTGATGGGAAGAAACACTGAGAACAAGACATGGAGGAAGCATAGGCCAACTGTTCCATGTGAATCAGGCAGGGGCTGCTAGTACATCCCAATGAGCCCACTGGATCTGTGCCCTTGTTTGCAGGTGCTGGAAATAACACCATCTATGCACATGTTTGTACATATTTTCCAGTTGATAATCATGTACATTATTGATAATTTCTTCAGTTATTTGTTTTTATAGTGAAACATGTTGCAACCAAATATTCATTCACTCAACAAGCAGTTTTTGAACTCCTAACCGTGTCAGGCTGTCAGAGTCTTCTGGCACTGGGTGAAAAATGTTACCAAGACAAGCCTGCTGTCTGCTCTCATCAACATCAGTATTCCATCAGAAAAGGGATTTGGCTTTAAAATTGCATATAGTAATTCAGTCATTCTTTTATCTAGTCAGTTCAATAGATACATATTAAGTACCTACATATAAAGATCAAAGATCCGCCCAATTAAAATATAGGGGAAGTATGTTAATGGACATTTCTCTAAAGAAACAGACAAATGGCCAATATGCCCCTAAAAAAGATGGTCAACAGAGAAATGCAAATCAAAGCTGCAGTGAGGTGCCAATTCAGACCCACTTGACAGTTATAATAAAAAAAAAAACCAAGTGTTGGTGAAGACATAAAGAATTAGAACCTTCATACACTGCTGGTGAGAATGTAAAATGGTACAACCACTTTGGAAAATATTTTGGCAGTTTCTCACAATCTTAAACATAGAGTGACCATTTAACCCAGCAATTTTTTCCTAGGTGTATACTCAAAAAAATGGGAAACATATGTCCACATAGAATTTGCATACAAATATTCATAGTAGCATTATTCCTAATAGCCAAAAGGTGGTAACAACCCACATGTCTGTGAATTCATGAACAGATAAACAAACGGTGGTATCACCAAACAATGGAATATTACTCAGCTACAAAAAGGAAAGAAGTACTGATTCTTGCTACAATATGGATGAACCCTGAAAACATTATGCCAAGGGAAAGGAGCCAGACACAGAAAACCACACACTGCATAGTTCTATTTATAAGAAATGTCCAGGATAAACCAGTCTATAGAGACAGAAAGTAGATTAGTGATTTCCTAGGAGTTTTCATAGCAAAATTGGTTTTGGTCATAGCTGTCCAAAGCTGTGCATATATTAAAAACCACTGAATTGTTTATGATAAATGATTAAATTATATGGTATATGAATTATACCTCAGTAACAGTGCTACCAAAAATAAACAAATATAGAACCACCTATCAAGAGGTCAATCAATAACATTTGGGCTTCTTTAGTCTGTAAGGTAAGCACTCATGCAGACTAGAGTCCCTCAGAGGTTCATGCTTGACTTCTGAACATGATGAGGTGCATCACAGGATGGTCTTATAAAAGAACATCCTTGTTAACGTGCTTCTTTCTGAAGACAGTCAACCATACCTTCACCGGGAGCATCAGCAAAATTTCACCATTACTTGAGTTTCCCTTTCCAAGCATTTCCAAAATTGATCTCACAAGTAGCTTTGAGAAAATCATTCTTTGCTAGTGCTAGTCACTGTATCACTGCTGGTAGACTTCAAGATTTACATGATTGGTTTTTAAAGGAAATTTCAAGAGTGAAGGTTTCATGTAATTACTGCATACAGGTTTCTCACACATAAGTGATATCAAAGTTTATACTCACTTACATCTCCACAATAAAACTCACTTTAAATAAAGCCCAATGGTGTCTTAGGATTTTCTGCTCTCTACTCCATCTTGTTTTGAATTCATTCCTCTTCATGCAGTGTCTCAGGGAAGTGCCAAGTATGTCATAATTTTCCATGATTTCAGGTTAAATTTTCCCACATATGCTTATGAATTTTTACTGGGTTTAAGTTCATACTTCATAAACTTCCTGTTCTAACCACTAACCTATATCTCTAGATGAAAAGAGAATTTAAACATTTTATACTTTAAGAATGCAAATTAAATAAATGAACCACATTTAGAATTTTCATTATTGTTGTTTAATGGGACTGCACACTGTGGCAGGTTTAGGAACTGTGGTAAAAAGTCAATTTAATTTTGATGTTTCTGTGTGTGTGTGTATGAGATTCACAACAATCCCTCAGCAAGACAACTAACTTATTTTTCAAAGTCATAGGCTGAAGCATCAGAGAGAACTCTTTCCAGAGCAGGTGCTGGAGAAACTGTTTCTGCAAAGGGCTAGAGAGTAAATACTTTAGGCTTTGCAGGCCACATACATCTCTGCCATATAGTTTTCTTTGTTGCTGACAATGTTTTAAAACCATTCTTACATCACAGGCTGAATAAAGAAAGCTGTTTGCCTATCACTACTCTAGAGATCACACCAGTTGGTGGTGGGAGTGTCATCTCCTCTCCAAGCAATAGCAGCTAATCCAACCGGACTTCCCAGTTATGCCAAGCTACGATTTCCCCAG